CAACGACACGCTTGAGATCTGGGCGGCCGCTGCCAGATTGGCCACGGGGGACTTGGGCGCGGTAGCCTTCTTGGGTGAGGCTGGGGAAGTCGGCGGGACGCGCGAAGTTGGGGAGGACATAACGGGTGAAGCGACCTCCTCCTCGCTGTCTGCGTCTGCGTCCACAACCTCTGCAGTGGCCACCGCGGCCTTCTTCTTCTTCTTCTTGGGTTTTTTCTTCTTCTTCTTCGGAGAGGAGGCAGGTGCGTCATCTTCATCCTCAACCTCCTCAACAGTGGCTTTCTTGCTGGGAGGAGCTTGAGGTTTTGCTGCGGGAAATGGATTCAATCGCGACAGGAAGCCAATCCGAAGATACATACCAGGATCCTCCTTCTGGTAAACAGGAGCTTTGGTTTTGGTTTTCTTGCCAAAGAATCCGGACTTTGCCCCGCGTGGCGCAGGCGTTCCCGATTTGGGCTTCAACTTGGGACTGGTGCTGAAAACACGTCCTGGGGCAGATGAATTGAGTAAAAATCAGAGGATGAATGTAAGCATAAACACCTTTGAGCGACCCTAATAACTTCAAAAAGGCATTGCCTTTGCCAATATCATCTTCATCCTTATTGAATGGGTCCGTGTCCCCATCGTTACCGAATAGATCGGCTTCGTGTGCAGCATCCATGGCCTCGCGCAAGAGGTCGCGGATCTCATCTTCTTGGTCCTCGTCGTATTCGCTCTCCGTCGCATCAGAGCCGTCGTCGGCGTCGTCGTCGTGGTCGGACACTACCACTGCGTCATCATCTTCGTCCGATGAGTTGGAGACAGTTTGCAAGGCTGGCATCGAGTCGTCACTGTCTTGCCCGTCAGTGATCCGGAGTATCTTGGCCTTCTTCTTGCGGGTAACCGCGGCACCAAGTGGACCGTCGTCTTCGTCATCGTCGTCTTGAGTGGCGGCTGCATTGTACTTGACTATTGCTTTGGCCGAGGCGTGCCATTGAGGAGCTCGAGCCAAAGCATCTTGCACTTGCCATAGAGAATCAATATCCTTGCCGGCGACTTGCTTGTGAACTTGATTGATGGCCAGCCACATGCTTTCCAAGACAGTCTGCTTCTTCGCCTTGACAAGGGGGTAGATGATCTCCTTCCAGTTGGCAAGCTGGCTCGGATCGAACGCTTCCTCGGACAAGGCCGTCGCATCAAGCCACTCCTGAAAGATTCGGGGCTTTGCAGCAAGCTCGGGCTTATTCCTCCACACAGAAAACTCTTCGGGCACGATCAAGGCAGCATCCAACATGGCCTGTAGCTCAACACACACCTAAGATGAGACATCAGTGACCGGCGTCGCGTGGCGTTACGGAATATGGCATTACCGAGAGATCGCCAACAGCATCCCAAAGCCCTTGGGGAAAACGTTTCGCTTCCTTGGGAGACTCGTCGACTGCATCACGCAGGATCTGATACAGGACAGTCATCGGATAAGGCGCTTTCGGGAAAGCGATTTCCACAATGATTGAATCCAAGAATGACTTCCCAGCAGCTTTGAGCGCGTCCCAGTCAAATTGGATCACCCCGTCCGTTTTTGGCCTGAAATATTTCGCGTAGTGGGCTGGGATGCAACAGAAAATGAGTTGCGTAGACGCAGTTCAGGGGTACATCCTCTTACGAGTCGTAGAAGCCATCAGAGCGAACTTTTCTTGCATCATTTGTACCAGATCGCACACAAAGTGGTACAGGAAAAGATACTTTGCCCGCAATGTTTCGTTGTCCCGTAACAAAGACTTGATGTTGGCATCCGTGAGCCCGTCGTCTTCGAGATCGTGTAGAGTATCCGCGATGATTCGCCAGGCAGATGCAAGCATGTAGGCATTGTGGATACTGAGAATAGGATATCAGTCTTTGCATCTTCAGTAGAAGAGGTTGAGCATGAACATTGAACGCACCGGGTGGCGACGACCTCGGCCATGGCAGTAGCACTCTTCAGAGGCTGCTGTTTCTTGGGATCCTTGGTTGAACGCGATTGTCCCATTCCGATTCAATGATCGCGACAAACAGCGCAGGATCATGCAAGTTAGCGATGTCATCGAGGAAAGCTATACTCACGATATATGTATAAGCTGATAAGGGGATGAGAGAGGGGAACGCACCGCTGCACTGGGAGTCTGCAACCTGCATACAAGTCTCGATGCGGAAGGGCGACAACACAGCCGACGCTGACTGTTTCTCGACAAGGTCCTCTAAGCGGTGAGATCCAGAGCCACTCTAACCTCACGATCGGTAGAAAGCATCTTACCAGCCAGAAGATCGAGCTTCTCGCATCCGAGGAGCTTGGTCACCACCGCCAGTTCACCCGTGCCGCGAGCACCGTGTTTGCCATTGCGAAGGACCAGTGCACGAGCGGTTGTCGGCTTCTCACCGTTCTCGTTGCGTTTGGTCGAAGATCGCTTGGACGCAATGCCCTTGGGACCACTGGAGGATAAGGCCTTCGGTCCAGTGGAGATGAGAGCGTTGGAGGTCGCGCCAGGCGTCGCCTTCGCCTTGGGGGGCATTTGTTTCGCGACAAGATTGCAGTTTCAGCAGTTTCTCACGATGATCAGCTCTTGGGACACATCAAGTGTCTCACACGCAATGCTCTCTTATCACGAACAAACTGGCCTCTTGGCCCTATGCTTTTGCATTCAAGGCTGGGACGGAAATCGAGATCCTTCCATACTCAACCGGGTGGCATCCCGGACCAGTTTCCGTCATGCCTGATCATCAAACATAAGCCTGTCGCCATGAACGATCCGGACGCGTTGTTCGGATATCTACCATCAGCCCAGTACACATGGCTGTGCCTCGACAAGGATTTATGTGTCGGCTGGTTGGCGTGCGTCTATCTTCTTGGGCAGCTGTATCATCTCCACCCCGGCGGTCGGGGTCGTTTCTTTCGTTTCCTTCGTTCGGTCTCTTTTCCGTTCTTCCGTTCTTCTTTGCCTCTTCGTTTTTAATCTTATTCGCTGCGCTCGATGGCGTCGGCGTTCAATCTCACTCGTACGTTCCCGCACCCCGTGCGAACTTCGATCACTGACCTCATTCCTCGCAGTCGACGATTGTATGTTGCCCGTGTCATTCCGAGAGTGTTCGGCTCGCTTTGAACTGGGGCAGGCTCTCCTTTAATTTCGTATGGACCCAGCGGGGCTTGGCGGGACGCGTCCTCGTGCGTCGCCTCCTTCCCGATTATAAGCAAGACGAGGACTAACATGCCTTCATAGCAACGATACTGCTAGTCTAGTATGCAAGTTTCAAGCTGGACAAGATCTCTGAAAACTCACGCGACTCTGAACTAGGGGTATTTCGGCAATACTTACCACTCCACCAACACCACCGGTGCTACGGTCACGATCAATTTCAACGGTGCTTTGTGTTGCTTATAAGCTGTCTGCGCGATTGACCAAGGTCCAGGCACGGGGATCGAGATTTACGGCGCTCATCGACCTGAGTATGGATCATATAGTATGACGATGGATGGGCAGTCTATGGGTGAAACTAGTGCAGCGAGCAGCGCGGTCCAGGCGCAGCAGCTGCTGGGATCTGCGACAGAGCTAGCGAACGGACCGCACACCGCGGTAATCACGAGCAACGGTTCGGGGATGGATATCGACTGGGTGAACCTATTGACTCAGGTTGGCGTTGTTGGGTCAGTGGAATCATCCGCTGGGGCTTATTGAACTGAACGCCCCGTCAAGCTCAACGATGACAACGTCACTGGTCGATGATGCGGATCCTCGTGTCAACTATGCTGGGAAATGGCAGACGAACAATCTGAATACATACATGAACAATACCCTGCAGTGAGATCCCTTGTCCTGTCCGTCAGACTGCTTCTCAGACTCTGCCGCAGCTACAGCTCCACTGCTGGCTCTGCTGCTTCGCTTTCGTTTTCGGGGAATGCTGTGGCTATCTATGGGACTGTTTCACCTGACCACGCCAACATTCAAGTGTCAATCGACGGTCAGAGTCAAATGGTGAACACTCAAGCTTCATCCATTTCGGCACTGCACCCGCAGACGTTACTGGTGAGTGACATAGGCAGACCCATGTGCTGCTGACCGGATTTTCGCTGCAGTACTACTCGAATGGCCTGGATTCATCACAGCACACACTGATCATCACCAATCCAGGCCAGCAATCCGGGACTGGTCCGTTCATTGATCTGGATGCCGTTGCGGTCTATTCGGCCACAGCTCCGCCGACCGTCAGTGGCGCTGCACCGAATGCTCTGAATGACAGGTTAGGCTCCCACAAGTTGTGAAACTACCGCCCACTGACCGTCGTCCAGTGCAAATCGACATGGATCGAAGATAGGCGCGCTCTCAAGAACGGCTTTCGTTGGCATACTTGCGGGCATCCTATCGCTAGTTCTATTGGCCATTGCAGGAGTGTTTCTGTTCTTTTTCTTGCGGCGCAGACGAGCAAGCCGATACAAATCTGAGGATGTCGACCCCACTACACCGACCTGTGCAGAACTGCCTCTGCAGGGGCCGAACGCGCGTTTCACGATGGTCTCTCCTACACAGCCTCTGCCGACGTTCTCGGGGATTCCTCAACGACAGTCCAGTCATTCGATAGCGCCAAGCTACTACGCGTTTGGCAACGAGTCGCGCTCATCATTCGCCTCGACGACACCTTTGGCACCCACATTGGGGATGCCAAAGCCACCCAATCGCAATCAGCCCAACTTGATGGTCAGTCGGACTTAGACGGTGATTCGCCCGAGACTGCCGTTTTCTCATCCTTCATGCACAGGTCCCCTCTAATCTAGTGTCGCAGCGTCTGAACCCACCTGCCTTTTAATTTGTACATAGGCCAGTCGAGGTTAGGATCGAGAGCGGTCGTTTTTGCTCTAGTACATGCCAATACAACAGTTCACAACATTCCTGATTCAGATGAAAGTTGTCCATCTACTCATAGATCACTAGCGACCCAAGAGAGTGGATGAGAATTATCATGACGACCCCCATCAGTCTCACGTCGAAAACACGTGATGTCGACCATTGAAGGCCGGTGCCGTTGATATACTGCCTTTCCCAGTTACCGTGACCCAGTGTCCTCCTCTTTCCTCCCTCCCCCCCACATTCCCCCCGGGCTCGAGCTGTGCTCTTTTTTTACACACTTTCCTTCATCACTGGTCTTTCCACCCTCTTGTCCACAAGTCCCTTTCTCTCTGCCATCTAGCCGGATCCTTCTTGAGCAGCGCTCGTTATCATCTTCCTCGCATCTGAAGAGTAGTTCATCGCAATGGGAAACCTCATCTGGCACGAATACGCTCGCTACGTTAGCATTACTGCCACCGCCTGTGCGTATTGAGTCCGACTTTTCTCCGCATCTCCTCATCTTGGCGCAGATGGAATTTGGGCGAGCTTCTTCGCTCTTTTCTATCGCAAGTTCTTCTGGGACTTCGTCCACGGCACTTTGAGAGATCCCGGAGGATTCCAGTACGCACCGCATTGTCTTCCCTTCCGGAGTTCTCATGTCACGCACCTCAGGCCGGCAAAGAGTGATGCCATCTTCATCTCACTCATCGTCAAGGCTCCTGTCATCCCCATTCTGAGTGCCATCGTTGGTCTCATGATTCTGGCTATTGAGAATCCGATTCCTCCCCTGAGAAACTCGGCCATTCAACGTAGTTTCCCATTGAAGATCGTCTTGCTTTTGTTCCAGGCTGTCCTTGCGGTTTTGTTCTATCAAGTGAGTAACCATCAATTCGGTTCCCTCAGTTGTTCATCAGTCCTCCCAGGGCACGAACTGCGCGCTCTGGTCACTTATCGCGATCCTCTGTTACACGCGTGCGGTCGCACTCGGGGAAATAATGCAGGAGGCAAAGACGAACAGAGGAGGGCAAGGTGGTCGGGCGTGATCCCGGCATCCTTAAATTTCCCTGGCACACAAGGGAGAAAGTCCAGCATTCAACCGGACTGCGTCCGTTTTCTTTTTCTCAATCTACACACCTACCCGGTTTCCGACTTCCTGACACTTTCCTGTACCCCGCTTCTTGTACTTCTTACACTTGCTGCTAGCATGATTGGTGTTCATCAGCATTTGCACAAGGATTTCTTCGTTCGCTCACCTGCTTGCTTCCTAATCCTCCTTACCCTTCGGTGTCAACACGGCGTGATTCGAGATTGAGAAGCATGACCATGACATTCATCTGGATTTCGTTTCTTGCCATTCACCATGACCTCTACTCCCGCCGAAATCTTCAACAAGCTCAGTTCTCAGTTCGAGCTAGCCAAATCAGCGGGCGATCTCCTGTTTTTCGCATCCACGATTGAAAAGCATGAGGATTCGGGGATCGAGGTCACTTGTCGCCTCCCATGCTTCGATCTATGTACTCATTGCCATGTAGTACGAACTGAGAGTATGCCCCGCTCTTCAAAAGAAGCCTCAGTCTCCCGCTACCGAACTCCCCGACACGCTGCCCCGTGATAAACCGGATCCCTTCCAGAGCCCCTACAACCCCAATTTGTTCCTGGGTGAGCTGCAAGATGCCGACAGTGGTGAACGCTACACAGTCTTGGTTCGCCTACTCGATCTCTCCGGATGCGCGGCGTCCCTCATTATCTGCTGTTAGCTCAACAAGTACTCTGTCGTCCCGCGACACTTCTTGCTCGTGACCAAGGGTAGGGGTCCCGACTTCTGCCTGTTATTGGGCTCAGATCTTTCGACATCGTACAGAGTTCCAACCGCAAACCTCACCGCTAAGCCCGCCAGATCTCGTTCAAACCTATCTTCTCCTCGCCGCCGCACGCAAAAAACACCAGACCTTCATCGCGTTCTACAATTGTAAGCACACGGTGCAGTCACGTTGTCTGCTTCGATGGATAACATCTTTCTTTATAATGCAGGTGGTGACCTGTCGGGCGCATCGCAAGCACACAAGCACATACAGTTTTTGCCGTTAGACGATGATTCGGAAGACGGTCCTCCCATCGAAGTCAAGGCGCGGGACGTCAAGCTCGAATCTCGAGGTACGCATACAGTCCTCGCCGCGGCCATCATCTCTCCAGATCCTCACCGCGACCAGTGACCCCGTTCGCGCTGGACCTGTCGTACGCGAACCACGTGTACCGCTTCCCTGAGCGGTTCCACTCGCTCAAGCCCGAGCAGATGGAGCCGATCCTTGCGAACGCGTTCTTCGGGCTCCTGGACCTCGTCATCTCGACCATCCGGCACGACCCGACGTACCCCGCGGGGAAGCTCTCGTACAACGTGGTGCTCACGCTCGAGCACATGCACCTCGTGCCGCGCCGCCACGAGGACTACGTGCTCTCCGCGAGCGGCGACGCGCTGAGTGTGAATGCGCTGGCGTTTGCGGGTATGATGCTCGTCAAGAGCGAGGCCGAGCTTGAGGCTGTTAGAGCGGAGGGCATCTCGAAGATCCTTCGAGGTGTGGGGCTGGAGAGTGTGCATGAGAAACAGGTGCTGGGCTCCTCCGCGGAGGAGGATTAGACGCGTCGAGAATTGTAACTGTACCTAGAGAGATAAAACAAACATCTTATCTTATCTGAATGATTGATTGATGGGATCGAGCAACATTCGCTGAATCCATCTGAGCTGCTTTTGGTCTTTCATCTCTACCATTTCAGCGCGCTCTGGCCAGTGCTGGGGGGATAGACACCCATCTCTGCCATTTGTCTTCCACTTTATCTAATCTCGGCTGGGCGTGATCTCGAAGACCTGGTTTCGTCATTGCTCGCTTAGAGCGCTTTCCAGTTGATGCCTGACGTCGACTCTTGATCTGCCCCACTTTCAGCATGCTGCCGCGTACCTGGCTGTTCTCACCAGACCCCAGAGGCCCTCCAGAGTGACTCCGTGGCGCCAGATGTGACGTATGCAGCTAGCTAACTCTAGGCCCGCTTAAGCATGCACGTATAACTGCATCATTCCGGCCGCTTAGGCTGCGTTAATCTAAACTCCACCTCGACCCTGCTCCTCCCCCTCCTCTTCCTCCTCGGCGCCGTTCTCCGCATGTCTCAGGTAACGCAGTCCTCGGTGAACAGCAGCAACAGCACACAGACCTTCCTCACTTCGCTCGTGGTCAATGGCACCCTGCTCGCGGTCGAAGTCATCGCGTTTGTGATCCTGAAGAGTCGGCTGGGGAGGATATACAGCCCGCGCACGTACCTCCCGCCCCCAGCGTAGGTCGTCGACTGGTGTGCACGTGCTGAGGTGCTCATGGTGTATGCAGGAAGCGTGCGCAAGCGCTGCCGCCGGGGTGGTGGAGATGGGTTCCAGCGTTGCTGGTACAGGATCCACAGGAGATTGTATGTATTCGCGTTTTCTGGGACACTTCAGGCGTCTCTCATCTTGCTTCTAGATCCAAAAAAATGGCTTAGACGCGTGCGTTTGCGCGCCGTTGCTCTGCGTTGCTACGGGACTGATGCTTTTCAGATATATGCTTTTACGATATTTACGACTCTTAATCATCATTTTCTCTGCGTTCACCATCTTTATCTCTGCGGTGATCATCCCAGTGGACACTGTGGGCATGCCGAACTCGACTGGCAAAGACAGGATCAACAGGATAACGTGGTCGAAGTGCGTCTGCTCTGTCCTCGAGGACTTATGGCTATAAACGAGCTCTGCGTATAGCATCGGAAATAATCAGCAAGACCAGAAGCGGTTCGCTGCACACATTATCATGGCGTACCTGCAGACCTGTCAGTTCTCGGTATGACATCGGAACTGTTGGAAACTGACCTGCGGGACAGTCTTCGTTATATTCATGATTCGGCGCGAGATGCTGCATTTCCTGGACATGCGCCACCGTTTCCTGATCAGCAACTCCCACTCCCGACTCGCGCAAGCGAAGACGGTGCTGATCACGAGCGTCCCGGACGAGCTCGCAAACGAACACGACCTACGACTGTTCGCGTCGTTCGTGCCCGGGGGGATCGACCGCGTGTGGATGTACCGCGACACGAAGGCGCTGAACGAGCTGTTCAAGCAGCGGCAGGCAGCGTGCAGCAAGCTCGAGACCGCCGCGTCCGGCGTGCTCAAGCACGCGACGGACGCGTGGCGCCTCAAGGAGGCGACGCACCAGAAGACGCGGAAGCACAAGAGCGACGAGGAGAAGGGTGTTATGCCACTGGAGCTCGAGTTGCCGGACGGGCCGACGCCCGAGCTGCTTCAGGAGCTCGTCCCGGCGAAGAAGCTGCCGACCCATCGCACGGGATTCCTCGGCCTGTTCGGGGAGAAGGTCGACACGATCCCGTGGTGCACCGAGGAGATCGCGCGGCTGAATCGGGAACTGGAAGACGGCCGGCGGGAGCAGGTGCAGGGCAAGTTCCTCGGGAGCGTGTTCATTCGGTGCAATCTGCAGCTCGGAGCACATGTGCTGGCGCAGTGCGTAAGCTATCACAAGGTGCGTGTGTGTCTGTCCTTGCGGACGCGCTGCTTGACGCCATTTCTCAGCCGCTGTCGATGAAGAACAAATGGATGGAAGCCAATCCAAAGGATATCGTTTGGGAAAAGTGAGGAGTTTGTGAGCTCGTGATCCCTCGTGTCTGACCTTCCGACCAGCCTCGATGACGGCTCTCTCGAGGTGTCCTGGCGATTCGCGACATCTTGGCTTGCGACTATCGCTCTGATCGTGGCCTGGATTTTCCCCGTGACCTTCATCGGAACTCTCTCTCAGATCAGCACGCTCTGCAGTCATGTCCTGTGGGTGTTTTCTTTCGACTGTACTAGGATGGTACTGACATCGGCATGTTAGCTGGCTGAACTGGATATGCTTAGGTGTGTTGAGTGTAGATCCGTGCGACCCGGCTGTCTGACGCTGGCTCAGCTCCACACCCTATTCCCGGAATCATCCAGGGCATCATCCCGCCGCTGTTGCTCGCCATCTTCTTTGCTGTTCTGCCGCTGATCTTGCGAGGTTTGCCGATTTCCGCTCTTGGTCAGATGAAGCGTTAACAAAGCACCCGCCAGGCCTGGCGTGGTATGAATGCATCCCGCGGTACTCGCTCATGTCGGTCAGCGTGTACCACCGATACTACCTGTTCCTGCTGTTGTATGTCGTCCCATCCTCGTATTGGCTGAATTGCTGACTGCAGCCCTCAGCCACGGTTTCCTGATCATCACCATCTCGTCCAATCTATCGAATAGTGGGTCTGATTATGATAGCATTTCTCCATCTTGAGGCTCAACATCACTTGCAGTCATCACCAATCTCGTCAATAACCCAAGCACTGCCGTGCAGAACATGGCCAATCAGCTGCCCGGGGTTTCTGTATTCTTCCTCACTTTGATGGGTTTGTCTCGAGGCTCAGGAGCCCATCGCTTCGATGCCTGTGTCTGACGTGGAGTTACAGTTACCCAGGGTCTGGCTGGAGCCGGAGCAGCCCTCGCGCAACTGTTCCCTCTGCTCTTCCACTTCATCCGGAAGTGGCTCACGGGCCGGACTCCCAGACAAGCTTTCACGGTATGTTTCGCGCCACACGTTGAATTGGGGCATTGAATGTCTCCAGGTGACCTTTTTGATGCCAGCGGTAAGCTGGGCCCACTGCTTTTGTAAATTGATCATTGACGGGTATCACCGCAGGCCGACTTTGGCTTGATCTTGCCTACGATCTCGTTGTTGGCGACAATTGGTGTGTAATCTGGTTGTTACGCATTTCGATTCGACTGACGCGCGATCAGGTTTCTCCTACAGCATGCTGAATCCCATGATCAACCTATTTGCTCTATTGAGTGCGTAAAACAACCCGAGTCGTTTGCTACCTGATATTTATTCGTTTCCAGGCTTTGTGATGTTCTTCATTGCATACAAGTTCCGTGAGTATGAGTTTTCTGACCGTAGATGGCTGCTCATTTCCCCGTCTAGTGTTGACTCAAGTCTTTGACCAGGTCTGTTGTTTGACGGCGAAGCAACGGTGGGCCAGAGCTGACCTGATTTTGTAGCCGGACGAGAGTGAGACAGGCGGGATGTACTTCCCGATGTGTATGTCCAACTTGTTTGTGGGGCTGTACATCGAGCAGATCTGTCTCGCGTGCCTGTTCTTCCTCAAGGCGTCGATATCGCCCCAGACTGCAGTGGTCGAGGCCGTGATGATGCTCATCCTCGTCGGCTTGACTGCGGCGGCCCATATCATGATCAACACGAGCTTTGGCCGTAAGCAGGATCCTGTTGTGCGCGTGTGTTCAAGTCAGACTGACGTGTTTCCAGCAATGACCGAGTTCTTGCCCATGTCGTTGGCCACAAAGAAGATGGCCAAACGATACGAAAAGCACCAGCAAAAGCAGGGGGACACTACTGCGTTGGATCACGAAGAGGATATGTTCCAGAGAAATGGTGCAGTACATGTCCCTGAACCAGCCCAAACGTGGCATTCCTCATCGAAGCCAACAGCTCTCCGCAGTGTCCGACGCAGAATCCAGCGTCTGCCGAAGCAATTGGACAGCACGCTCGTCACACTGCGAGCGCGAGTCAAAGAAGAGGGCGAGTACCTCGCCAGCCCCAGCAGCAAGCGGAAGCACAAGTTCTCGGAAGACACGCCCCGCGAGAGCTTCGATCCGTCATCAACGGACTCGCCGTCGACCTCACACGATCCCGCGTCACCACCGCCCACGACGGAGGGCGAGGGCCAGAAGCAAGCAGAGAAGCAGGTCATAGCCGACCTGCCCGAGGGCGACGCGCCCGAGCTGTACCGCCCCAAATCCCCCGCGCCGTCGCACACCTCCGAGCGGCCGCGCGCGTCACGTTCACGGACGCGGACGCAGTCGAAGACCACGCGCCCGGGGCGGCCGTCGATCGACAGCCGGGACCTTTCGGACGAGGACGTGTCGACGGACGACGAGGAGGACACGGACGAGCACGCGTTCGACCACCCGTCGACGTATATGCCCCAGCCGACGGTCTGGCTGCCCAAGGACAGGCTCGGGATCAGCGAGCTGCTCATCGGCGAGATGCGCGCGGCGGGCGTCGACGCGAGTGATCTGGGCGCGAGCATGGACGCGCGCGGCGTCGTCGAGGTCACGCGGAATCCGCCTGACGAGGTCTGGGAAGGCGGGAATGATGAATGAGGACCTTTTACGATCTTTAGTCATGATGTACAGTAGATACCCTGGCAGGCGGTCGTGCATGCCGTGATGGCGGCACCGATCTGTCCTCGAATACGATGTAGAATAAGGAAGGCGCTCGCAGTGAATTAATACTTCTACACACGGAATGTAATTCAATGTCGATTTTACAGAGCAGGGATCGTATTAGCGATCTGTTCTCAGAGTTACATGTGAGCGTATCTGTCGATCACGTGGTCGGGACACTACTTAGCCTCGACAATCCTGATTCCTTTACCATCACTCCGATGAGGCCTACTATCACTATCACAGCTTAAACTGCGGTTTTTGTGTGCACTAGCTACGGGAGACCAGATCTACCACGGCCGAGTGCAGAATGCTGGCCCAGGATTCTGTGCATCAGAATCCGACCGGTCCATACGCGGCATGACCCCCATACTCTACCGCGGAAAGTTTGACTGGTTCTGCTCTTCTCACTGGGGATCTCGATCGACGCGGCCTTTGGGCTTACCTCTTGCCGCTGCAATCAATGACTCGGCTTGGCCTTGGCCATTGCTTCAGCTACGGAAGTGCAGGCCACTGCCGGTGCGACCGCTGCCAGATTCAATCTCTTCGGTGATCCTTGAGTACAAGGTAACGCTCAAGGAGGTGGAAGCTGCGGATCGAAAAGATCGGCTGATTGTGCGACCCGTGTGCAAGCTGGACTCTGCTGGGTACTGAGCGTCCTGCCGTTTGTTTGTAGCGCCCCGTCGAGCCGATGGAATACGGTCTTGCTTCTGTCTACGAATACTATCTACCGAAATCCGCCTGCCTATTGAAGGGCAGGGTCCGAATCAAGAAAGACCGGACTGGACAGGACGATGGGACGCGGATGCAAAGGCAGGTGTTTGAGCGAAGTGACCGCTCTAGGATCTCCATGTTGCGCCCTGGATACTGTAGGATAATAGGCCCATCATCTCCTGGGACCATTACTTCACGGACACATAGTCACCACTACGGCTGTTCACTGTACCGATGTCCAGTCTCCTTCAAGTCTGCTTCGGTGGCGCTTGGTCCAATACGTCACTCGGCAGTATGAACCGATACAATCCAAGACCTTCCGTGACGTCAAGCTTTGCGATGGTCTTCTCTGCGTTGGAGGCGATGTGCAGCACGAACACGACAGTCGTAGCTAGGACTGGAGGCCTATAGCGTTTCTAATCCGACTGGCGGATGCCAGCGCACGATCTCAGGCAGCAGTTGTAATCCTAGAACATACAAACGGCGGGCAGCTGGACTCGTTTTGACAAGCTACGTACATACCAACTACTTACATACATACAAGGCCATGCAATGCCACGGTAGGTAGATGGGAATCACATCGACACTGAGCGAATGAGTCAGCTCCGTCGAGTCAGCTCCAAGTTTGCCCTTCTCCAAATCCAAAAGCCCTCTTCATGGCGCCTCTCGACCTCGATGCATGCATCGAGCAACTGCTGCGCAAACAGCTCCTGCACGAGGTCGTCATTCGGGAGATCTGCACCAAGACGAAAGAGGTGCTGATGCGCGAGTCCAACGTCGTGCACGTTAGCGCGCCAGTGACAGTCGTCGGGGACATACACGGGTGTGTGCTATTGCAGATTCCCACTAGTCTATGTGTGCTGAGAGGGTGGCGGTAAGCCAGTTCTACGACCTCATTGAGATATTCAGGATAGGCGGATACGCGCCGCACACGAACTATCTGTTCCTTGGTCCGTTCCTCCGTCTTTGGCGTACGCGCGCGCGCTCTGAACCATGTCTTGAAGGAGACTACGTCGACCGGGGACTATTCAGCGTTGAGACGATCTCGTTATTGACGTGCCTGAAGCTGCGATACCCAGATCGAGTGCAGCTGATTCGAGGAAACCACGAATCCCGGGCCGTGACGCAGGTTCGTCTTCCCCCCGCGCCCGTCCTTCCATATCTCAAGATATGTCCTCTCTATCCCCACCCTGCAACAGAACTACGGCTTCTACACGGAATGCATGCGGAAGTACGGCTCCAGCCACGCCTGGACGTACTTCACGGACATGTTCGACTTCCTCACGCTCTCCGTCGTGATCGACGATCGCGTATTCTGTGTCCACGGAGGTGTGTGCCATGCTATGCCCGCCATGCTTCCATGTGAACCAACCGGTGCCGCAGGTCTCTCCCCGTCAATACACTCCATCGACCAGATCAAGGTGCTTGACCGCTTCAGGGAGATCCCACCGGACGGCCCGATAGCGGACCTCGTCTGGTCTGACCCCGACGCGGAGAAGGAGGACTTTGCCATCTCACCAAGGTGCGTGTCTCGTCTCGTGCGCGTCAGGCCCGAGTTCCGCCCAACACCAACACTAACGCAACACACTGCAGGGGCGCGGGATACACGTTCGGCTCTGGGGTGGTGCACAAGTTCCTCGAGATGAACCAGATGTCGCACATCCTGCGCGCGCACCAGCTGTGCATGGAGGGCTACACCTCACTCTTCGACAGGCACCTCTCCACGGTGTGGTCCGCGCCCAATTACTGTAAGCGTCCCACCCAGTCTATCCCTTCGCCCGATCCCGGCTGATTCCCTGCCCCGCCACGCCAAGGCTACCGCTGCGGCAACTCCGCGAGCATCCTGGAAGTGAGCCCCGGCGGAGGCATGTTCTTCAACGTCTTCGAGGCCGCGCCCGAGAACGAGAGAGACGGCCCGAATCAGCAAGCCGCGCAGAACGCCAATGGCAAGGTACGCTGTGGCTGTTGTTCCGACGCATACGCGACCCGCTGAGCCTCTTCGTGTAGCTCCCGGAGTACTTTTTATGAGATGTACTTGGCACGATATCAGGTCGAATGTAGTAGTAATACGTACATCGTGTATTTATACTGAGTTATGGAGCGCTTTAGGTTGTTCAAACAGCTCGAATAGACGTGGAAATAAGAAAAAAAAGTACATGCACATACACATAACATAATTGTAATTCGTCGTTTCGAAACAATCCTCGGAGCACTGACTGCTGTAGAGTGTAGATAGTAGTAGTAGTAACGGTAGCCCGGAAACATTACGGTTCCATGGCATCCTCGAATCCTGCAACGACCTTCTCTTTGGTCGTCTTGACCTTCGCAGCCATCTCGCGAGTAAGCCTCGCCGTTTCTTTTACCCAGATCGCGTTGATTTCTTCAACCGCGACGTCTTCCGCGATCATCTCGGTTTCGTCAATTCCCAATCCCCGCAAAAGCTCTTCATGTCGGACAATCGCAGCCAGCTGCACATCGCTCGCACCGCCCCCACTTCGGTTGGCACCCTGCGTGAAAGACGAAGACCGCCCGAATGCGCGTTTGGCTTTGGCTCCCTGCGGAACAGCACCCGGCAATCCGGCGGGCGAAGCGCAGACCACCAGACCAAGACCCTCGAGCATGCCGATCAGATCGTTGAACTCGCTCCGCGACACAGCTGAGAACATGCCATCCCCCGACCGAGACATGATCGAGGTGTAGAAGGCATGCAATTGTGCTGGGTCGGTCGCGCTGGATCGCACAGCCGTGGTAGAGAGTCGCAGGCCAGCTTCTAGTCGCTTCGTAGCCAGCAGCAGAGCGAGCAAGACAAGACGTGCTTGCAGGCCCAACGACCGGATTTTCGACACGATTTCGCTGTTTGCTGGAGCGCCCTTGGACGCGTTGTGAGATGACACCGAATGGGCTTTCAGTGCAGCCAAAATGTGAGATGGCGCTACAGTCAACTTGACCGCGGGATTGAGGGGGTTGCTTTCTGAGCGCGTGGGCGACGGTGCGGATTGAGCAGCAACGGCGAGGTCGATCGCGCCTCGCAAGACTTCGAACAGACTCCGGACGTCACCGGTCAGTGCGGCCACCTTTTTCGAGAGAAGAGTCAGGGCATTGGGGCTCAAGAACTTCTTGGCTTCCTCGCTCGCGCGTTTCGCTTCCTCCTCGTCCTCACCCGGGCCCTCGGCGTATAAGGGAGCAAGCCGGCTTTGGAGAATAGATAGCAATTGAGCAGGGGTATAAGGGGGAAAATGAATCGTGGAAACATTGCTGGAGGTAGGCACGAATCCAGTCGCTGAGGACGCAGTTAGCGTGTGTGTGTTTGCGATACCAACGACCCGTAGTGTGGATGGTCGAGACGCAGACAAGGAAAATAGAGATGTTAGAGTCTGTGCTGTGGGTGCGATGTGGTCTAACTCGTCGAGGAAGATGATACTTGAGTAAGCGATCAGCGCTCATGCGTGAGGAACACAAAAGTTAGCTGTACCGTTTAGTTGAAGAAGCTGCCAGCAATGCTTCGACCGTCTCCCTTCCTTGCACCTTCTTCATGCGATTGCCTCCCTTCTTCTTATCCTTATTACCGCCAAGCTCTTCAATCAGTCGGTCCCAGAGCACATCGAGCGAGTTCAATGCCATGCAGTTGATAGTGATGACCTTGACTTGCTGGACGTCGAGGTCACGTAGAATCGAGTTCACCAATGCAGTCTTCCCGGTTCCAGGCGACCCAGAGATGTATAGACTGGTCTGCTCGACATCAGGTGCGTCCTGCACGAGAGTTGAGAAAAACGCGGATAGTAACGCGTGCTCGGCCTCGCGACCGGTCATGTCGGTGGCAGGGCTATTGCAAGTGGAGCGAAGCAAAGCGCGGGCGCGCGCATATATGGGCAGCAAGATGGTTGGAGGGGTAGGCGGTGGGGTGACGAGTGTGAGTTGAGCAATCTCGGCCGTTGGTGTGCCGGGGATGAGGGATGTCGAAGCGCGTCGCACGACGCCTGGGATGTTGGGTAAAGGTTATAGAAAGTTGGTGAGGGTGGCATACCTTGTCGGGAGCGTGTCGGAGAGCCATCTAACGTGGAAGAGCGTCTAAGCGCACGCGCTGCGCGAGGCGAGGCGGGCGACGGAAGGGGAGCAATGACGAAGGGTGGGATATTTTCTTTATTACCGTCGCCATCAAGGACGAGGCCGGAAGTACGAGGGCGTTTCGGGTTGGGCGTGTTGTCGGGGGTTTGCAGCTGCTGCTTCGTGTCGGTGCTGGCGGGGGTCGAGGACTCGGCAGCATGAGGACGCTTGCCGAGCACAGTGTTGCTGCGGGTGACTGAGGGCATCGTGTCGATCACCTGTCGGTCGAGGAAGTAAGGCCGTCGCGAGGGTGGTGGTGGTGGTGGTGGAAGACTGAAGAGCCCTGAGAGGGCCACCCTCTTGATGGTCACACAACATGTAGGCGAGATCAAATACAAACACAAACATATCGCGTCGCGACGCGTTAAACAGACCCATGTGACCGGTAATATCCGTGATCTCATCAACGTGATGGTATTGGACTTGATTTTTGTTTTGTTTTTTGGGTTGTGGGCTCAATTTCAAGTAGTGCATTTCACAGAACAAACTCGCAACACTCAATTCGGGTGTCTCAAAGCAAACGGATGTTATTCGGCTACAAATGAACTTGTCTATGATATTTACAGGACGCTTGGATAGCTTTGGCTGTACCACTGGTCTTTGTGGTTGTCTAATTGGCGGCATACAGAACGGAGCTGACATGCGCATCCCACGCAGACACGGTAGCAGCAGGCCAGGCGACTGTCTCTGTTTTGTAATATACGTCCGCTTGTCCAGTGATCACGCCATCCGGAAGGATCTTCGGAATAACGGTAGCAGTGCTGGGCTGGGCTGTGGTGGTGATTTTGCCAGTGTCCGGGTCAACGGCGCCGACTTTGGAATTGCCGACGAAGAAGTCGCGGATAAATGCAAAGGAGCGGGCTGGGTTGATGACGGGCGTCTGGTGCCCGACTCCGTAGATCAGACCGTAGGTCCAGCCCCGCTCCTGACGGACAACACCGGCAAACAGGCCCGAGTCATCGTACCAAGACGTGTTCGGCTTGACAGTGAAGCCCTGGATGCCACCGAATGTGGTGTTCTGAATGACGACTTCCGTGGACCAGTGGGTCGTCAGGGCATCGTCGTTTCCGGAGTACCAGACAAAGTCGATGCCCTCCTCAGTGGCATTTGCGGCAAGCTCATCAAGGAAAGTGGTCGGCCTAGCAATGTATAAGTTTGCTGGACAGAGCTGAGTCACACTCATCGATACTCACGGAGGGCTAGGGTCGGTGCCATTCGCAACATTGCCCCACGGGTAGGTCGTCGTGGTGACACGCCAGATCTCGTTGTGCGGCGCGTGGAGAGCCGCACGAGTGGTGTTATCTGATCGACATCAGCACATTCCAATCACAGCCGGCAACCAAATCACTCACGGTTCATCCAGTGATGCGGGTGCAACTTGAGGGAGATCGGGTTCACCAAATACGGGACGTCAAGGAAATCGAAGCTGAACCCAAGTTGTGCTGGGGAGAAACATCAGGGGGAGGGAGATCAAGGATGACGACACACATACTCCACGGATAGGTAAAGTTCAGAGCGTAAACAAGCGCAGTGTCACGCAGATCACAGCCGAAGAACGGATTGATTTCTCCTCTGAGCGCGAAATCGAACGGAGGGAACCCTGGGAACAGGTTGACTCCTGAAGGAGAACCGGTGCTGGAAGCCGCCGACGAGGATGTCTTGGACGCTTTGGCTGAGGTCTTGGACGCTTTGGCCGACGTCTTGGTGACCTTGTGCGTGGATGTCTTTGAAGGAGAGGCAGTAGGAAGAGACGAGGCCGGTCCGACCAAGCTGCTCGACATGGGAATCACCTGACGAGGTTTCTCGAGAGAGCGGCGACGATGCTCTTGGGGGAAATCCATCCAGCGCTCGTGCAGTTCCTCCATGAAATCCTTGGACGCATCGATGGAACGACGGCGACCAGGTTGCGGCAGTCGGTGTCCCAGTAAACCCTTGAGAATCCGCGTGTAAGGCAGCTTTCCACCGGTCTGGGGGTAGGTCAGGTTGAGGTCGAAGTTGCACAGGTGCTGCTGATCCCGGAAGTAGTCGTAGATAGTCGTGTTGTATCCGATCAACTGAGGGTACGTCTCCAAGACGCGGACGATCGGGATGTTCTCGAACAGATTCGCTTCCCTAAAGTGGGTCAGATTGAGCTGACACAAGTGAGCCAATCAACGCACGAAAGAGCCGGGTTTGAGACTCCGATCTTTCCAATGAGGAAGGTACGGTCCTCTTTGGGAATTCCGAAGTAGGCCTGTAGGATGTACGGAATGAACCGTCCGGCATATGACTCGCCGACAAGGTGCAGCGGGCGATTCTTGAGACCGGGGAAGACTTTGACCAAGTTGCTGAGGAAACCAAGCTGGAGACGTTGAGCGAACGCGACGAGATGCAAGGCAAATGGCTCACGAAATCGGAGGCGACTCGAGACTCGTCAGCGGGATATCCTCCGATACCGACGGTGGAATAACCGACGCCAACAGGATTGTCGACGAAGAACTGAACAAACAATTATGATCAGCACCGGCTGCAAATTCCAAGATGGGGGCTACCGACCATGTCTGCGATGTTGTGCCAGCTGTACGGGTTTGGGCCCAGTGAGTCCTTGGTCACGACAATCGGGCCAATGTTTTCCACGAGCGCCGAGGCGACACTAGAGTATCCAGGCCCGCCAGCGAGCCAGATCATCCACGGCTCCTTCGAGTGCACATCGGTCAGCGATCCATTGCTCTTCTCGAAACCCCAGAAGAAGGCGGTGTTGTTCGGGCTCCCGACCGTCTTGGTGGAGATGCTGCCAGCCCAGTTACGCGGGAGAGGCCAGGTTACATTCTCCAAGGGCTCGGTGACCTCGAAATCTGCGCAAAGAGTAAGGTCGAAAGCAGGAGCAGAATGGATAAATCCCCCTTACAGTTCTGCCAGTGAGGACCGTATCCTGTCGTGGGCTTCCCGGGATCGTGCGCAGGGGAGCTCCAGTTTTGAGTGGCGAGAGTGAGCGGCAGCAAAGAGAGAGACGCGCCAGCGACGGCGAGCACGGATCGGAAGACCATTTCAGACAGCGAAGTTCTGCAGGGCGTCGGAACGAGATGAGGCTTTGTCCTGCTGAAAGACTGTGCGCGGGCCAGGTTATAAGGCGATCCGGTATCCATTTTTGGTACGTAAACTTCGCAAGTGCAGATGTGATGGTGAAGTGGATTGCCATGCTGGTGTCCACATTGTGCAGCCGGGCATGACTCGTGGGACGACGTTTGTGAGAGAGAGATCGACGTCTATATCCAGGACGACCTTAATTTTGGATCGAATGCCCCAGAGAATTATTTGTGGTCTTCGGCTGAGGAACGGAGTGTCGAGCATGCCACGGCGGCCGACTCTTGAGCACCGAGTTGGAGTCGGAAGAGGGTTCCTGAGGGTTCGACACTGGATGCTACACGTGAGAGCACGTGCCTGCATGTGGAACCCTGAACGATACATCTCATCTCCGAGCTTCTTCTTTCTTGCTGTGCCGGCTCGAGATTGCAGGGAGGATCTTTCTTCTTATCCTGTCGCGACTCCTTCGAACTCGATGCGGCACGCGGGCAGACCCAAGTGAGACGACAACATCACGCTTTCCATGACACCGGGTTCTGTTGCCGGAAAGGGAAACGAGCGCGTTGGAAGATAAGACTCGGATGCAACGCCGAACAAACAAAGCTGGTATGGAGAGCACGCGCTGCCTGAACTGACTGGCCTGCTTCACGGGCGCATCGGAAAGATCTGCACGCTGCTTCGAACAATCTGTTGGGGTGAATCCCGATGTACATGACGTATCTAGCTGCGACATCTTACAGACGGATGGTGTGCTATCCTGCTTTTTTTGCTGGCTGGACTCGATACATCTCCAGATAGTCCGATTCCGGCTCTCAATTTGGACCTCAGTAATTGCTACTGTAGTGTGCTGTTATGAATTTCCTGCTTACACTGACCACCTATCATGTCCGGGATAAGCGATGCCGTCTACAGAATGGTCCACTATCCCAAGATCTTTGTCGTGCTGACGCAGGAGCAAGGTGAGTTACGACAAGCGTCGTTACAGGATTCAAGTTGGACCGGGTGGACTTCGCAACTGGCTAAATTGATCCTGGCCAATGAGACTGTGCAATGTTATCGCAATTTTTATATATATCAACTCTCTGCGCAGATTTCGAAGCTCACTGTGCACTTCGTGCCGTATAAGGCCGTATATTGGGGTGCTTCGCTTGGACATTGCTTACTGCTTTCGGATCATTAAATGATCGCCGGGCCGTGATTCCCGATCAGATATGGCATCACACATCAGTTTTCACGTGCAGATCCTCCGGTCTCTCTCCCCACACACATGTTTCTCCGACCAAAGCCAGTCTCATCAAGCCTGCGTGCACTTCAGCGCGCCTACTCGAGCACGCCTGCGCCACATGCACTTGTTCTTCTTGAACAGCGTCAAGGAGACATCGACTCGGCTTCGCTATCTGCATTGACTGCTGCCGAGCAGTTGGGTGGACAAGTCACCGGCCTCATCGTCGGCGCAGCCCAGCATGTGGCTGGAGCCGTGGAGAAGGCCAAAAAGTAATTTTAAACCTTCGGCACCACCCTCACCTGATAACCGGATATCATTAGACTGAAAGGCGTCACTGCACTGCTCCACTCTTCATCGGCCCAATACGCAGAGGCATCGACCGAAACGGTCTCTCTTTTGCTAGAGAAGCTGCTTTCCGAGTCCTCTCCCTTCACCCATGTCGTATCCGCGCACACGGCATCCGCCAAGTCACTGCTACCCCGTGTAGCAGCGCGGCTCGACCTCCCCGCCGTCTCCGACGTCACGTCTCTGGAGCACGACGCAGCCTCGAACAGCACGACATTCACGCGCCCGATATACGCCGGGAACGCCATCGCCACTGTTCGTGCATCCTCCGCCGTTCCCATCAAGTTCTTCACCGTCCGTTCGACGGCGTTCTCTGCCGCTACATCCACAGACAGTGCTGCAGAGGACAAATCGCTCGAGCCGATCGAAGTCTCGGAGCCTCTGTCGGAGCACCTCCAGACGCTTCTCGCAAAATCCGACCGGCCGGACCTGGGTGTTGCGAGCCGAGTCGTGTCCGGTGGCCGGGCGTTGAAGAACGCAGAGACTTTCCAGTCGACTCTGTACCCTCTGGCAGATGCGTTGGGCGCTGCCGTCGGTGCCTCGCGGGCCGCGGTCGATGCCGGCTATGCAGACAACTCGCTCCAGGTCGGGCAGACCGGGAAAGTGGTTGCCCCGGAGCTCTACATGGCCTTCGGTATCTCTGGTGCTATCCAACACTTGGCTGGGATGAAAGACTCGAAGATGATTGTTGCTGTAAACAAGGCACGTCTCCGTCAGTGGGAAGGCGTATCAAACTGACCATGGTATCGCAGGATCCGGATGCTCCCATCTTCCAAGTAGCAGATGTTGGGCTTGTTGCGGATCTCTTTGAAGTCGTTCCAGAATTGGTGACGAAATTGAAGGAATGACCGTGACCATTACAGTATGCATTAGGACAACAACGAAGCATCCATTCATATCTTAGCAATAAGTAGATTTCTAAGCATCTCTCTCCCCGTCACCCGCACCGTGTGGTACAGCGTGATGATATCCAAAGTCGAGAAGAAGGTATCCGCGAATCCGAATGGCAGCATGAGCGGGATCCAGCCTGAATCACGTCGTTCAGCTCGCGGAAATCGTTGAAGCATGAACCTCCCACCTCTGGCATACTCGAGCGCGAAACAGCCCTCGTGCATTTTGTATTGCTTTGCTGTTCCCCTGGGCAAATAGTGGACCGAGCCCGGAGGATACCTCTCCATCTCCAGAGCACCCGGTGCGAACGCCCACTGCTCACCCACCAGGATGTTAAAGTAGTCATCAGCGGTGTGCAGGCCCGTATGTCCCTCCGTCCCCAACGGCGTCCCGAAAATGATCAGGTATTCCGTGATACTGGCGTGGATGATGTACATGGCGCCCATCGCACCGCCGGCGTTATTGAAGACCCACTCGCTGGAGTCCGTGTTCAGCTTGATCTGCTTCGAGGGGTACGTCGCGGTCAAGTTCGCCACGATGTGTTGGATCATCCCAGCAGTATCGTCGGGGCTTGCGGCAATTGCCGCTTGCGCGAGTTGGTGCATGGCCGTGGGGTCGAAGACATACCAGCGACTCTGTAGCGAGTTAGAGCATCCGAAACATCCGTGGGTGCATGCATGCCTTGATCTGGTCTAAGAACCCGCCGAGTACGACTAGCACAGAAAAGACCACTGCGCTGAGGACCCATTTATTGGAGAAATCGACGATAGATTGAGATTCAGAGCGCGTCTTGGCTTTTTTGGGAGAAGGCATGGTCGTTGAGCACGCTTTTGACGCGTCGAGGAGAGGGAAATGGACGTGTCCACTGTAGGTGTTTGAAGAACACACTCAAAGTCGTACCACCGTTTTGTACCGGAGATCAGGCAGGAATTACATAAGCGTCGTTCGACTGACATTCATATTACCTGACAAGGATAATATCTCATGCAGAGTGCGGGTGTACTTGAGCTGCACCTATCCAAGACGGACGGCCGATCCGCCAAGCGCTTGGCAGGATGTGGACATGGAGCTACGGTACTCGAGTGGTCCCAGTCGAGACAACGTGATCGGCAGCCATCGAGTGATCTCGTGGATCGTCGGCATAACCACAGGACCTGCGAAATTCCCGCCAAATGTTAGCCCCAAAATCGGCCGTCCGGCCCGATATTTGTCCAACGCACATCGGGCCTAAGCCCCGGATTTTTGTCCAACCTGTACATGACCTCCAAAAAATCGTTTTTTTGTATGTACATGCCTATGGAATTGAAAATCCGAGTTCTACAAGCATTTTAAGCGCTATCCAGCCTATTCATCCTCCCCTTCATCTCGAGCACGTTTATTGAAGTTTTTGGGAGGATTTTCGCAACTTCAGCTGGCGGCGGCGTTAAAGCTCGATTCTTTCCTTATATAACTTCCCAAGAAATGTCGTTGTCCCGCTCTTTTGCCCAATCCGTACACTTGCATCGAAGGGTACATCATCTTTGATAGTGATGACAGTCACCATTCGAGAGGACCGGCACTTGAGGGTGCGCTCCCGACAATGCTGAGGACGACTCGGGGGTAATATATATGAGAGAAGCGATTGGTGAATGATTTTCGAGCGAATTTACACGAACTACTCCAAATATGGTCCGGAATTGAACGAGTGTCTCGATTGAAGAAGCACTAATCAACAAAAATTGATCTATTTGGGGTAAATCGGGGTCAGACCAGACCGGACTGGGGCGAATTTTTGTCCAACCCCGTGACCTAAGTATCGCCGAATGGAGCCGCAGTTTTTGTCCAACACCCGACTAATTTGGGCTAACATTTTCGACCCCTCCCCACCAAAAATTGTCCAACAGGGGGGCTAACATTTGGCGGGAATTTCGCAGGTCCTATAACCACTCGCGGGCACCGCCACCCGCCTGAACTACTTTCACACTACTCCACAATGACCAACGATGTTTTTTCTAGTTTCGGCGCCCTCGATGAACTCATACAGGTGATATACCAAGGCTTGGACAAGTTTATCTTACTCTCCGACATCTCTGAGGACAAATGGCACATTCATCTCGGTCTTGCTGAGGACGGTCGCTGGTGGCACGGTAGCTGGAACGCGTCCGATGTCGAGGCGATTGTTGTGAATACATCAAGTGAAACGCTTCTTGAAATCTTTGCCGACAAGCTCGCTCAGTGCATCGTGCACGGAGAATTGCATGTTGAGACGGGTGACTGCTACAAGGCAGGTCACCCCATTGCACTTGCCCGACTCTCTGACTATATGTCGTAAGCAGCTGACAATTGGGCCAACATCGAAAAAGCCCATGTGCGTTGAGTTAGAGGAAATGAGTGCTGAAGACGGTGCGATATACACGACGCAAGTTCTGCTCAAAGTAATCCCTTTGACTGGTTGACCACCGAGTATTCAATTCTTGTGCCAGATAGGTCTCCAAGCGCAGTCTCGGCAGTCAAGACTGAACACGGCTGCTTTTGCTGCTCCAATTCCTCCGCAAGTTGCCCCTCGTATGTGATTCCTTTATCGAAGGGCAGTCTGGACCTGATCTATCTGGATGTATCAGAGTCTTCGCCGGCACCCAAGATCAAGGCTAGGAGATCAAGTCCTAGCGTTACCACAGAACCCGCTCACGGGACGCACACGGAGTCTAAGCAGAGGACCGACTACAGCTCTTCCACGGCCCATAGCATTTCCCGCGTAAAACCAGAGCCCTCACAAGAGTCGAGTAAGAAAAAACGATCAGCCCCTTCTCCGGAGCCAAGTTCTCGCAGTAGGCCCATGTTCCTTTGGGCTGTATAAGTTGACAGTTTTTTTTTGCAGAACCCACACCGCCAGCCCGTCCGCTCAAAGGTGCATCTCTCGCCAACCCCAACAAGAAGGCCAGGAAGCATCAGGCCTTGCAATTTGCGAGTGACGACGAATCATGCTGACGTTGATTCTCGCTGTTTGCAACGTGTAAGTCGCATATTCGTTGCCTTGTACCTTCGCGTCCATACGTAGATCAGGCGTGCGTGTTATGCATTATAGTAGGCGAACGTGGCGGCTGTCCTAAAACGGGGAGAACTCAACTTGACTCCTGACTCCAAATTTATCACACCACCGTACCTAGCGCTGCCAGCGAGATTTCATCAGATCAAACTTAGCTATAGCATTTGATCTCTCGTCTCTCTCTCTCCTACTTCCACCTACTAAGTACATGGCTTCTACAGCATTGCCTGCTGCGCAGACAAACGACCTTCTCCGCGAGATCCTCGCCGTGGTCCAACAGAATGTTTGTACTCTCCGTGGATCTCATTCGGCGGACGCTCATTCTCCCAGTCCTTGGACCTCGCCTCTGTGCGCCACGAATGCGAGCAATTGCGCCAAGCAAATGCGATTCTCGAGCTGAAACTGAAGGATAACATCCCGGTGCGCAGTTAGTTATCCTCGTAGCGCGATCCAACTGAACGTTGACGAAGGGTCTGAAAAGCGGAACCCCTGGGTACATGACGCCGCAACCTCCCTCTAGCCCACAACTCCGCGCCAAGTCACCCTTCCTCTCCAACGCCGTACCGCCCATCGCCCAATCTCAAGCCCACCAGCCCTCCCCTCTGGGCGACAGCGTCCTCGCCCCCCTGGGCACTGGGCAGCTGCGCGAGATTCCGGGCTTCTACGTTGTCATTCCCGCTGGAGGCGCTGGCACCCGACTTTGGCCGCTGTCGCGCGAAAACCACCCCAAATTCCTGCTTGATCTCACGCTGAAGGGCCGCTCGCTGATCCAAGCGACCTGGGATCGGCTCCTTCCCCTCACCTCCGCCTCGCGTACCACGATCGTCGCAGGACCGACCCATGTCGACGACATCCACTCGCAGCTTCCGGAGCTCCTTGCGGAGAATCTGTTCTGCGAGCCTGGCCCCAAAGATTCCATGGCTGCCATTGGCCTAGCCGCTGCCGTCCTGGCGAAGCGAGACCCGACTGCCATCATCGGCTCCTTTGCCGCGGACCACATGATTGCCGGAGACGATGCGTTCCTGACTGCAGTCGCAGAGGCGGTCGAAGTGGCCCGGCACAACTACCTCGTGACGATTGGTATCGCACCCTCCCACCCCTCGACGGGCTTCGGATACATCCGTCTCGGAGAAAAGCTCAACATCAACGAAGCGCCGAACTCTCGACTTGTGTCCAGCTTTAAGGAGAAACCGGATGCGCGCACCGCTGCAGCGTACATCGCCACTGGTACCTACCGATGGAATGCCGGAATGTTCGTGACTAAGGCATCGTTCCTGTTGGAGCTGCTCAAAGAGTACAACCCGGACCTGCACAAGGGGTTGATCGCCATTGCTGATGTGTGGGACGATGCCTCGAAGCGCCAGTCGGTGCTGGACAGAGTGTGGCCCGGGTTGGTCAAGATTCCGATCGATAATGCGATTGCCGAGCCTGCTGCATTGACTGGCCGAGTTGCCGTTGTTCCTGCCACCTTTGGTGCGTTTGAACGCATGTTGTTTTTTATCTTCTTTTTTGACAAGGGACAAAGGTTGGGACGATGTCGGTGATTTCTCCTCGCTTGCAGACTTGCTCCCGGCGGAGCTAAACCAGCCTCGTATTCTGGGCGACCCGAACTCTGGTATGTGGCCACTTCGTTGCCCTCTTTCTGTACTGACATGGGGCACTTCCAGTGATTACGGAGCAGGTCGCTGGAGGGATAGTTGTCCCGCAGTCGGGACGGCTCGTTGCGTGTCTTGGAGTGGACGACCTGGTCATTGTCGATATGCCGGACACTTTGCTCGTGACTACTCGTGCTCGGTCGCAGGAAGTGAAGCGTCTTGTTAGCAAAGTTCGTGACGCAGGCTGGAACGGGCTCCTTTGAAATGGACAAATTGAATCACGTGGAAGCACATTATCATAATTAACCCCCCCTGGAACACTGCTACGTTATTACATAGAGAGAACATGTACTATACCAATCAATGGGAACCCGAGGCGTCGCGGAAAGAGACGCGGACATGTGCGAGTCAGGTGATATCTTGAGGCTGACGACACCTGATCTGATGCTCTTCAGTCCGAGATAGCATGTCGTCTGAACGAGAGCCTCTGAATAATTCTGGGACAAGCTATGGCGCAGTTGAGCCTGCGCCCGCGGTTTGTACTCGTGGTCTGCAACGAGGTCTCTCTGCCAGACAGGTCCAGATGATTGCTATAGCGGGGACAATAGGTTATTGCTATGCGCAGTCCTCTCGACGTTGTATTCGGCACTGAAATTCTGTATGTACAGGGACGGGCCTCTTTCTTGGTGACTAGCATCGAACTGCCTCATCGAAACTGGGACTCTGATCCATCCTTGAAGGAAGTGGAAAGTCGCTGGCCGAGGGCGGACCTGCAAGTATGCTGATCTGCTACACCCTCGTCGGGGCCATCGTGTATGTGACGCTCCTCCTGCTCGGAGAAATGGCCACGCAGTACCCAGTCGCAGGCTCGTTCAATGCTTACGCTGCGCGCTTCTTCTCCCCGTCGTACGCCTTCGCGTTGTCGTGGAACTACTGGTTCAACGATGCGGTGTCGGTCGCGTCCGATCTGATCGCCGCGCAGCTCGTGCTCCGGTTCTGGACGTCGAGTTCGTATACGTGGATCGTCAGCGCTGCCTTCTGGCTCTTCCTGGTAGGCGTGAATGCGATACACGTCAAGGCTTATGGGGAGCTGGGTGTGTGCTGAACCGGGTGTTAATTTTGGTGTCTGACGTGTGCAGAATATTGGTTATCGTTCCTCAAGGTTGCGACTGTTGTGATGTTCATCATCCTCGGGCTGCTCGTGAATGTGGGCGTCAACGCGGAGCGGGAAGTTATCGGGTTCAGCAACTGGAAGATCCCCGGCGCACCCTTCGTTGGCGGCTTCGGTGGTTTTGCCAAGGTATTTGTGACCGCCAGCTTTGCATGTCAGTGCATCCGTATGGAAGCGGAAACAGACTTGGGACTAATCGCCACGCAGTTGGTGGGACGGAAAGCCTTGGAATCACAGCTGGAGAGACAGCGAATCCGACCAAAAATATGCCGCGTGTCGTCAAGTTCGTTTTCTGGAGGTCGGTTCTGTTAGGGTTCGCTCCCTTGGTCTTCGTGAAAACTTTGCCAGGATTATCCTCTTCTATCTCCTGAGTGTGCTGCTCATCGGATTGAATGGTCTGTCCACATGCTCTCTGTTGTTGTTCGACGTTCAACTGTGACAGTTCCATGGGATTATCCCAACTTATCTGACAAGAGCACGGCGACATCGCCATTCACCATCGTCTTCAAAGAAGCAGGCTCGAAATTCGCGGCGTCCTTCATGAACACCGTCATCCTCACGTCCGTGCTCTCCGCAGGCAACCACGCGCTCTTTGCTGGGACGAGGGTCCTCTACGGGCTAGCTGTGACCGAACCGCCCCAGGCGCCGACCATCTTCTCCTGGACGACGTCCCGCGGTGTCCCGCTGCCGGCGTTGCTCCTGACCAGCAGCGTCAGCGCGCTTTGCTTCGGAAGCAGCCGAGTCGGGAACGGGGTGGTGAGTAGAATTCATGTAGACATCGGGTTCCAGTTTTGACTTGGTCTGGGAACCAACAGCTCTGGGCATGGCTCCAGAACCTCGTGGGTGTCTCCAATCAGGTGCGTGGCTCGAAAGTTCCACTTGTTTCTTGGTTCCCGACACTATCCCGAGATCGCCTGGCTTTCAATCGGTCTGGCGAGCTGGCGATTCAGGAAAGCGTGGCTCAGCCAAGGGCGCTCGCTGTCGGATCTGGGATTCCACGCGAAATGGACTTGGCCTTACGGCCCTCTCTTCGTGGTCAGACCCAGCCCCATCCTCTTGAGCCGTTCATCTCACAGACTCTCATCTCAGATCGTCACGGTCCTGATTTTGATCATTGGTCTGGCCTTTCGTTCCGTATACCCGCCGCCTTGTGCTTGCTGACAGTGATGGATCTAGTGCAAGGATGGTCTTCCGTGATTCCCCAGTTTTCGCTGGTCGACTTCGTGTCCTTCTACGTCGAGATTCCACTGATGGTGGCCATGTATCTGGTCTGGGCCTTCGCGTCTCGCAGATCCCTGGCCGACTTGGTGGACGTGGACTGTGTCGACCTGGACAAGGACCAGTACGTCGACGACAAAAGCGACGACGAAGTCCCCGAGAGTCGCGGTTTCTGGCAGTCAATGTATTACTGGCTAGCATGAATCCTCAAATGTACACATGATAAATAGAGATGGAACAATGCTGTTTTGGATGCGCCCGCTCATTTCTTCACCGTGCCAATCACAACCTCCGGCGCGTATCGCGGGATGACCTGCGGCGCGTGGAGCATGTTGAATTCTTCCGTCGCATCACGACCGGCATACAGCATGATCGCTTTCTCTCCTCCGGGGTGGTCTGGCAGGAACTAGTAGAAAAAGTGTGAGCGACTGTGTTCCACTAAACCGTGATCCATTACACACCTTGGTCACGTCGAGCACCTGACCGTTGACAGCGACCCATACGTCGTCCTTCGAAGTGTGCTTGGCAACCTCCTCCATGGTGTACTCCTTCGACGATGAAGACGACGACGCTGCCGACGCTGCCGGGGCTGACGCTGCCGGGGCTGCGGCCGGAGCCGGAGCGGAGGAGGAAGAGGGAGCACCAAGCTGGCCAGCGATGGCGCCGAGACGGCCACCCGCCTTCTCGATCGCCTTGGTGGCCGACTGCAGCATGTAGGCTGCGGCAGAGTCACCAGACACACGCCCGAACACAACACATCCGAGCAGCGACGAGCCACCGAGACGGTTGGCACCGTGCACACCACCGGCAACCTCACCCGCAGCGAACAGACCAGCGATGGGTTTGCCAGAGCCGTCGATGACACGCGACTCGGCATCAATCTCCAATCCACCCATGGTGTAGTGCAGCACGGGAGTCATGATGGCAACGTGGAAGACGTCGTCGAACGTCCACTCGCCTTGGAAGAACTGCAGGGATCGTTAACATCAGATGCAGGGTCGACGACACTACAACGCACCTTCTTTCCAAACGGATCCTTCTTCGTGCGGACGGAGGTGTTGTAGTCTGCGAACGTTTTCTTGAGGACAGATGCAGGGAGACCCATTTCCTTGGCCAACGCATCCCCACTCTCGAATCGCTTCATGAGGCCACGGCCGACGTAGTGTTTGCAGTGCCATTCAATCTCCTTCGACGCGGGGCCGTTAAGGATGAGGCGGATGGGGTACTAGCAAACAGCTTTCAGAAAGACAGTCACAGCCGATAGACGTAGTAGACGCACCTTCTTGTTCTCCCAAATCTTCCCGGTGACGAAGTCACGGTGCTGGAGCTCATCGACGAAACGAGAGCCAGTGTTGTCCAGCAAGAGACCACCGACACCACGGAGAGCCTCGGCGGCAAGGAACTTCACCTTGGCGTCGGGCTCTTTGGGGTCGACGAGACCGGTGGGGTGGACTTGCACCTTCTCAAGATCGATGCCCTTCGCGCCAATGGCCATGGCGAGCTTCTGTCCATCACCGGTGCAGTGGTCGCCGTTGGTGGTCGGCAGCTCCCAGAGCTCGGGTCGGTACTGCTTGAGGAGGGAGTTTTCCGTGAAGTCGGCAGCGTATCCACCAGTGGCCAGGATGACGGGGCCGTACAGTGTCTCGGTCTTGCCACCCAGCACGTACTCGACACCAGTGACAGAGCCCGACTCGTCCTTCAGGAGCTTGGACACGCGCGCCCGCTTGAAGATTTTGACCCGTTCAGGGTTGCTGACGGCCAGGTCTTCCAGGCGCTCCATCTGGGCGTAGGTGATGACCTATCATGATCGTCATTAGGACAAGATCGGCGATAGGACGGAACTTGGCGGGCTCACCATTCCGGGGAATTGGGCATCGCCTCCTCGGTGGGTCCGGGGCTGCGAGTGGCCACCGAGACGAGCGACCTTGGACAAGTCGAGGTTGAACTTGGCCTGGAGCCAGTTCACGGCGTCGCCCGAACGGCCCGTGAGGACGCGGATGAGGTCGTCCCGTGCGAGCTCGCGAGCAGAGCGTTTCGTGTCCTCGAAAAAGACTTTGGCGTTGTCTGGAATACCAGCTTCTTGCTGGCTCTGCGTGCCGGCACCGTTGATACCCGAGGTGGCCTTGGTAGAGTTACCTCCCATAAACTAATGGGAATGTATCAGCGCAGAACGATCTTGTTCCGGAGGCGACGTACCCCTGCTTGTCGAGCAGAACAACATTGGCTCCCCGCTCGAGAAGAGTGTGTGCTGCAGAGAGACCGGCGAGACCGCCACCAACAACGATAACAGACATGGTAGTAGAGGATAGAGAGACTAACCCGAAGCCGATTATTGGTCACCTTTATATGCACAAACGCATGTCACGTATTTGAATTTCACATGGGTCTCGGGCCGCTATTGCCGATTTTGCCGAAGCGGCCCCACATGATTTTCTGAATTCCCCGGACGCGATCCCTCAAGCCGACCCGACTGGGAGTCGATGATTAAATGCTCTATGTCCAGCCGTATTTCTAACATGTTGCTATCACTTCACATGCTTTGCGCACGGCATCGCCCATCGAGATGTCTAGAGTCTCGAGAACAACCAACCCCGTGACCTTGTTAGACGGTGCTCCGTTTTCCATGTCCCGATTCTCAAAGACATCTTGAGTCGCTTCGACAAAGGCCGGATATACGATGTTTTCCCAGTAGTCGGGCGGATCGCGCCATAGCGAGCCTTCTGGATCGGATTGAACTCCAAGATAGAACGCGGAGGAAAGTGGAAAAGGCGGAGTTAGCGGACGGGGGAAAGCGTCAGGGTTGGTGCTAATCTGAGGAGGCGGGGAGCCATACCTGCCGTGTGGTATCCGTGCCGTTCGTGTCGCCGCTGGCGAAGCACATCGTGCGGAACACGGAGAAATATCCGCACGTCCAATTGGTCGATGACTTCCGGATGCCAGTACAAAAGGAAGCCGTCTACCAGGCCCCAGATGATCTCTTCCTGACCGGCCGCGACGCGCTCGTCCCGCAGCTTCGCGAACACTGACGACCAGTGATCCCGAACTTCGACCGGGATGGGCAGATCTTTCTGCTCGTTGAGGTGGTCATGGCTTCGGTGATCTTCAGGGATTTCGCCTGTTGACTTGACTTCGCGTAAAAATTCTATTAAACGGGTCCATTCTATAGCGCCGGGAGCTGCATCCCAGTCTTGGACCTGATGGACAGGGTGCATAGGCACGAGCTCTTGAGGCTTGTCAAGTCGAATTAGATCATATCAATGAGATCATGGAGAAATAGAATCAACTGGTGCAAAATCCTATGGCAAAAGAGCTCAAAGCCACAGTCGCAGTGCGGAGAAATTGCGCACATCTTGATGTATAATAACTGAGTTGGGGAGAATGAGTTTGAGGTGTTTTGCGAGAGTCGTCTTTCCAGAGCAAGTCGCGCCTCTGGTGCCAAAGTCAGGATATGGACGCGCATAAATCCGAATACCAACCCTATTCCCACCAGAATTACCTTGGGCATGCAGGTATGATAGTAGCAGTCAAGCAGATAATCGATACCTATCTTTACCGAGTCACAGCGTTACTATATTGAGCAAGCCATCAATATGATCAATGACATCGGACCCCGGACCGGTTCAGGAATAATCAGCTTGAACCTTGGCCGTGAACTCATCGACTGCGGCTGAGGCCCACATGGTGAGCAGTTGTGTCTTGAGCCGAGGCTTCTACGGGAGGGAATCAAGTCGACTGTCTGCGAGTCATCCTCAGCATCCGTCATGCACAGCATCAGAATAAGTACCCTCCGTGGATCTCGTTTCTTCCCACTGCCATGCACCTCCCCTCCGAATCCTCAGAAGATCGTAACGCGTAAGTCCCCTTCATATTCAACCCCTGTCTGCTGATGAATCCCCGCACAGGGTCCTGCACATCGGTACGGACAACCGGTGTACTTCCGGGCCCTTTTGACAGAATTTCAGTACGGGACCTGAGGGGAGATGCCATTGGCGCTCTAGATCACCCACTCGCCTCCAGCTCGGACTATCCCGACGTAGTGCTTGAAGTAGCAGCAAATCTCTCGCATGGGCGGCCCAGCTCGGATTACTTGATTCTGTGGGAACTAATCCTGCAGCATTGGTTTCCGCAGGACCAAGGCTATCAGATCCAGCATGAATGGAAACTGCCACACTCGTCGTCGTGTTCGACTCTTGCCGTGTTCGATCAGCATAGCAACACACCCGTCCTTCTCCTACAGCTCTGCGCGCTCGAAGACTTCGACGATATCCAGACACGTGCAACTGCGGAGGCGTTCTCCGAAGAGGACTTCCACCACGTTGCGCAGTACTGTAGCTCCGGTCCGCTCTGTGCTCTGACTGCCATGGGGCAGAGGTGGATGGCGTTCCAGCGCTTCGACGCCTTGACTGGCCGTGAGGCACCACAACTTAGCGGAGAGAGGCGCGTTCAATGGATGGATGATGCCATTTCAGAGTTGTCATACGATCTTCTCCGGAGTCTGCTTGTGGATCTCAAAGAAGGTGTTCGAGTGCTCCGCCTAAATCACTAGCTTGTATCAGCTCTTGTATCGCATGTACTTATGTCGTTGCTGAGCATATGAGATTCGTGACAGAGTCGCATCAACTATTACGGCTAGCGGCCGGAGGCCATCACGAGCTTATCAGTGCACCGGTTGACCGCGCTGAGCGAATAAGCCCGCGGCGTGCGCCTTTTACTTCCTCCCATGAGCTCACCGCCCTCGTCCGATTCCAAACCCAACCTTTCCAATGCTAACCGCGCGGCGGCGAACCAACTAATCTTGGGCATCGGAAAATCCTACCTCTCGGCCCAAGGACTGTCGCCCAATTCCAACTCTGACGAGACCTCTGCGCTTCTTCCGAAACCTGTCTCGTCCGAGGATGGGCTCAAGCAGCCCTCCAAGACTCGGACTGCAGTGTGGGGGACTCTGACCGCTGTGTTTGCTGCGGCCCTAGCTCTCTTCCTCATCTTCCCCCACTGGTTGCCAGACGAGCTTGCACCAATTGCGGGTCGGTGTGCAGTCGCCCAGAGTTCGAATACAGAGCTCATCGTCTCCGCAGGGCGGCTTCCCCGAGATCCCATGCGTGCAGCGGTTCACATTTTGAGCAAAACCCCAGTCATTGTAAGCGGCTCTTCGTGTATCCTCCACCCTTCTCATTCGCATTTCTAGGACGGACACATCGGTCTGCTGCTACCCTTGTACTACATCGAATCCTCTCGCTCAACTCGATAGATCTTCCCATTTTCGTTCGAGCGGTGTACTCGAACAACGTCTCTGCGATCGACCTCGAGAGTAAGCTTCCCGGACATGTTGACATCCCCCGCCTCCGCAAGGGGAAAGTTGGGGGATTCTTCTGGTATTTTATCATACGCGTCGGTGCAGAGTCCGTGTTGATGCTTGCTCAGGTCCGTCTATGTCGGATGTACACAGCAAGGCGACGACTTCTTGACCTCTACTTGGCGCGTAAGGTGTGCAGCTCGGTGTTCATCCGTCTAGAACTGTATTCAAATCTCGGCGCAGAGACACGCTGGAACAGATCGATGTCGCTAATCTTCTCATTGAGAAATACCCTGATGCGAGTCTTACCTGCCGATTGCTTCAAACCCATCTCACGACGTCCGCAGACCTTCCAATATGCCCTCACCTCGAGTGACATGAAGGACTCCATCGGCAAGGGAAAGATTGCGAGGTTCGTGTCTCGATCGGTTCAACTGGCCACTGTTGAAGGAACACCCCCAGTTTACTCGGTGTAGAAGGCGGCCATCAACTTGGTATGTAGTGGTTCGGTCATCGCTGGCCGGTCGTTCTGAGCCAATAACAGGCAATTCGCTGGCCGTCTTGCGCCAATATTACACTCTCGGGGTCCGTTACATGACGCTGACGCACTCTTGCCACAACGCCTTTGCCGATTCGTGTGGAATAGCTCCCGGCATGATCCCTCTGCATGGAGGACTGAGGCGCGTCCCTCCTGCTCTCCACGACGATTCCGTGCTGATTCCCCACAGTCCTCTGGGCAGCATCCTCATCACTGAAATGAACAGACTGGGGATGTTGGTTGATCTGTCCCATACCTCCGATGCCACAGCGCGCCAGGGACTTAAGGAGTCGCGGGCCCCGGTTATCTGGTGAGTTCCTGCGCAGATCCGCCTAGCTGTCCGGTCGGCTGATTCGCGTCAGGTCCCACTCGTCAGCGCGAGCCATCCACGACGTTCCTCGCAATGTCCCTGACGACATCCTTGCTCTTATCGGAGAAGGGCCCGGCAAAAAGGACGCCGTGGTGATGGTGTGTCCTCGACAATGTATCGTAGACCAGAGCTGAGATTAACCTCAGGTCAACTTCGCGCCTGGCTTTGTGGCCGTGCCTGGTAATGCGACGGTCCAGTCTGTTGCTGACCACGTGGAACACATCGCGAAGGTTGCTGGCAAGCGACAGTACGATCTGTTTCCCCTTGCTTCTAGCGAAATTGGGCTCACTTCTCTGTACAGTGTGGGATTGGGCAGTGACTATGATGGTGTGTGACACGATTGTATTGAATTATGCTGAGCGCCTGACTTGTGGACAGGCATCGACAGTGTCCCAGTTGGTCTCGAAGATGTCTCGAAATATCCTGCTCTGGTAAGCTGCTGCTGTCTCAATCTTCTGTGTCATAGACTAATCACGGACTCAGTTTGCCGAACTGCTGACGCGGGGGTGGACCCGCAAAGAGCTCGATGGCTTGGCAGGTAATAATCTCCTCCGTGTCTTTGACGGCGCAGAAAAAGTGGCTCGGGCAATGAAGGCAGAGGGAGTGACACCTGCTTACGATCTGTACGACAAGCGCACAGACATGCCCATGAAGTTTTGAAGGGCCGATTACACTCGTCCCGACTCCATCGATGTGAACGAGCCATCCACTGGGCTTTCCCTAGCCACATACGCTCTTTGAATAGCCTTCTGTCCGATATGTGTCAATTGTCATTATACAACTGTTGGCTCGCAGCCACGCACCCACGCACCGCATCTCCACCTGCTGCGCGTTTAACGTCACCTCCAAGCCACCTCGCTCATCAAGGGGCTTCTCTCGCCGGACATTTACACCGACGGAGATCAAATCCAACTATCAGTGGATCCAGTCTAGATGAGGGTCGACAAGGCAATAGAACTCTCTACCTCAGATCGCACTTCCATTGTCCCTGTACTTTGTCATCTAGCTTATGACATGGCGCGGATTTCCCTCTACTCCACACGGTGGCGGCATCCCGGGCGTGCTTACTCAGGGATTCGCGCTGTCGGTTTGCTCCAAAAGTGCGCGAGGTTTACAGATCCAGATTCGCAACAAATCTGTGCTAATCATCCATATCCATCCCTTTCCCTTTCCGAGCCGCGATCCTCTCCCTCATCATTGTTTTGGCTGACTCTTGTGCCCTGTCCAGCTTCCCGGCCTTCGCCAAGGCAACCACCAGAGCATGCACCAGACCGAAGTGGTTGTGTTTCCGGAGGCTATTTTCAAACTGCACATATCGGAATCAGGCCTAGAATGGGGCCAGAAAGGTAGAAACCAGACTCACCTGCCAGCGCTCGCGTTTCAAAGTTTCTGTCGAAATCTTCACAACGATCTCCGCTGCTTCGGAGTGCCGATTCGAGGCTTGGAGAGCGCTCAGCTGTGCTTCCAGCTTCGGAAGCGGGTCGTCACGGAGAGCGAGAAGACTGAATTCGAGCTAGACATAGCATTGAGTAGATTGATCGCTTAGAAATGTTCCCCGCCTCACCGCGCCCGCCGGATATGTTGCTATCCGACCCTCGATAGTTTCCCTGGCCCACTGTCAGCGGCTGTGCTTGGGTGGGAAGAGAGAACGGTACCGCGCTTTTTTCAGCCAGCCCTCGCCATCCTCATCGTACGACCCATGACGCACAGGATATTGTTTGAGACCGTCCAGTTCGTACAGAGAACCCATGTAAGGGAGATACACAACGAAATGATAGGCGTCTTCGGATGTCTTCGACAATCCCAATCCGTCTAATGAAATCGCGCTCGGAGGCGAGAGAGAGTTGTGGTACTCTCGCAGCCAATCCGATCCAGTAATCACGAGGCCACGCGTTTGGGCATCCATTCCAGTTGTGAAGCCGAGCAACTCAGTCAACTGTGGCCCGCAGGCGAGAGACGGAATGTTGCCGAGCGCGTTCATGACAGCGAGAGTGGCACACGCGTTGTTCACCACTTGATGCGCAAAGAAGCCAGAGAAATCCGGATCATAGTCTCCTTGTATCTTGGAGTCCTCCCCTGAGGGCGACACCCATTTGAAGAGGAATATAAGCGCGTGAAGGGGTTGGAGCGCTGCCAGAGAGTCCGAATCGAGCGAGTATAGATCGTCGACTATGCACGGGACGCCGAGGGATTTCAGCAGCTCTCTGAAGATAATTGTAGGCCGGAAGAGTAGAGCAAGTGGAGGACACATACGTGAACACTCCAGGGTCAGACTCTGTAAGTTGCCAACCGTTCGAGTCTTCAGCCATGATGTTATTTGAGATTCAGTTGACACGCAGAGTTCTCTGGGTTCTCTTATGACAGTTGTACGGCCTTTCACTCACGACCACGAGATGAGCTGAGGTCGGTTGGCGAGAAATCGAGAGCGTTGACGCGTCCCTCCCACGTGACGAAATCTGTTTCGCGATCGTGACAGTGACACCCGAAAGTACGTAGCGCGCCAATCACTCTCAGGCAGCTACGTCGACCACGAATGGACACCAGTCCAGCCGGCACGTCGGTTCTGCAACTGTTCTGGTCCCATCTTCACTCCATTTCTAGACTCCGATCCGAAGGCTGTTAATCGGGCCCGGTTCGAGCTTGAGCTGGAGTTCCTGCAAGCGCTGGCGAACCCATACTACCTGCACTCGCTAGCTCAGCAGAACATTCTGGATCAGCCTGCTTTCGTGAACTACCTGAAGTATCTGATGTATTTCAAAGAAAAGGACTACGCGCGCTTCATTCAGTACGGCTTCTGCCTTGCTTGGATGACTACATCTGGTGCTGATGTCGTGCAGCTACCCTCATGCTCTACACCATCTTGAGTTGTTACAGCACGCCGAATTTCGCGCCAATCTGAAGCAGGACGAGTTCCGAGACTTCTTGCATCACAAACAGTTTGAGCACTGGCGGACCAATCGGAATGGGGCGTCAGACTTTGGACCGGCAGCCAAAGGGCAACCATCTCCGTAAAACTGGGCGTATAGATCGTGAGCGGCGGTCCACGAATGTGATTGCTGAAGTGACAATGGCTGGGATACGGAAGACTCGTTAGACACGTGACGTTTGTCGAGAGCCCACAAGAGATCTGATTCAGTCACTCAAGTATATTGAATTCATATCCGCAATCATGGTTCCAACGCTCTTTCGCGGAATCGTCATGAATATGAACAATTCTGAGAACTGCCACCGATATCCTCTTGCTTGACCGCGCTGTCCACCATGCACCAGGATCTTCTCCGTCTTTACTAGCTCAGTACGCTTCCTTCAAATTTGCGATTTCAAGATGCGCTGACTACTAACCGTCAGGACATCCTTCATTTCCATCGGCTCTCTGCCCCCATCTCGCATGTTCAACAGTCATCTTGCCCTGAAGCACGAATCTTTCCGTTGTATTTATGAATCTTGAATATGCATCAATTTCCTAGCCACCATCCTGACGCGATACAGCACGTCTCTCACAGATATGGCAATAAAAAAAACATTGGGTGATATGATAATACATTGGGGCAGGTACATAGGTTGCTAGTAGTCTATGTGTGCGAAAGCGCAGTGTAGAGAGGTCCAACCAGGGAATGGATTCACAAACGCAATAGGATAGACTCAATCCTCCTCTTCTACGGGGGGCGCGGAGAAGCGGACACTCTTCTGCCGAGGCTGCAGCTCCGAGGTGCTTGTGCGCGGTGAGGAGGATGAGGAGGATGGGAGGACAGCCGAGCCCCGGAATGGGAACATCTTGTCCATGCGCAGTCGGAGAGACGATTTGGACGAGTGTGGAGTGGAGGGAGTAGTCGACGTCACGTCCGTCGCGGAGGATACGGAACTGGTCAGCCGTTGGACCCCTCCGCTGTTGCTCTTTTTCATGGACGAGCGATCCGGGGGAGGCAAAGGCACTGGTTTGAGAGTCGGCTGAGGGTGAGATGCCAGGGCAGGGTATCTGGTCGACGCATGAAGATGAGGAGTACGCGACAGATGCAGTCCCATAGCGATCTGCTCAGCCAATGAGTGGAAGTTCCACTCGGACAGGAAGCACGCATACCTGCTCCACTGTAGGACGTGTAGCCGGAGTGTCATATCTGAATCTCTGCACGAACGGATTCCTCTCCTCCGGACTCGGATGCACTATTTCTGATGAATCTCGGCGCTTCGTTGCGGTAGAGAGAGTTCGGCGGACAGAGGTGATAATACGCGAGTTGAATGCCGGTTTCGGCGACTCCTCCGCAGAGCGCGAAGACGAGGGAGGAGAGGGATGGCGGGTACCAGGACGGGCAGGCATCGCATGAAATGGATAACAGGAGAGAGGATTAACCAGGTGGATAACGCATGTAAAAGTAAGCGGGCAACGCGCGGTAGGGCGTGCGAAATTGATGATGTATATACGCGGCACCTGGTTTGTCACGATCACGCTCGATCACTTTGTCACTCTCCTATATATGGGGCCGTACTCTCAGTGAATGGCCGGCGCACACGATGAGTCTTCACTGGACGAGCCACTGGTTGGCCGGACCTCTGGTCACACCGAACGAATCAACGGCTTTAGCATGTCGAACTCTCAGGATATCGTCTACGCGGCCTCTTTGGCGGAAAAGAAACGTCTGTGGTGGCGGAATGCTCTCCTAAATATGGTCTTCATCGGGTCCTGGTATGCTCGCTTTTCCTCTTCTCTTCGTATTGCGCGACTGAGCCAGCCAGGTTCTTGTTCTCCACCATCCTGTCTTTCTACAACAAGTGGATGTTTTCCGCTGAGAACTTTGGCTTTCCCTATCCACTGTTCGTCACCACCCTGCACTTCTTCGTTCAGTTTCTGCTGGCTGCTCTGCTTCGTAAAATTTGGCCTAAGCGGTTCATTCCTCAAGGCAGACCTTCCAAGTCAGACTACGGGTGAGTTACCAGTCTTGTTCTCGTCTTGGAACATGACATCTTCCAACCCCGGAACCGATTTGCGCGCTCTCTGTCTATCAATGCACGCTATGCTCAACAACTGTTCTAGAGTGAAGATAGCTCCGACAGCGATCGCGACGGGCCTCGACGTCGGACTCTCCAATCTCTCACTCAAAACTATATCATTATCCTTCTTCAGTGGGCCACTGACTTCCTTATCTTGCTTGAGTAACTCAAATCAGTTCGTAGCAATGTGCAAGTCCTCGTCGTTGATCTTTGTGTTGCTGTTCGCCTTCCTTTTCCGATTGGAAAAGTTCTCCCTGCGATTGGTTGGTGTCATTGCACTGACCTTCTCTGGTGTCGTCCTCATGGTGGCGACGGAAACTCATTTTGTCTTGGTCGGCCTCATTCTTGTGCTCATAGCCAGCGCGCTCGGTGGCTTTCGGTGGGCACTGACACAACTTCTACTCAAGAACAAGAAGATGGGCATGGACCATCCGGTAGCGACGATATTCTGGCTTTCTCCTGTGATGGGATTGACCCTCGGGATCATCAGCATGGTCCTGGACGACTGGTCGAGCCTCTTGGGATCCAAATTCTTCACCGGATTTGAGACTGTGAAAACGATCTTCTTCCTTGTCACGCCGGGCGTCATTGCCTTTTGCATGGTCTTGAGTGAATTTACGTAAGTTCTAGGTTGCTCACGATGACATTCGACTCATTCTGTGCAGGATTATCCAGCGAGCAGGAATTGTGCCCATGTCCATCGCTGGTATTGCCAAAGAAGTTACCACGATCAGTATGAGTGCAGTCGTGTTCGGGGATCCGCTGACCTTCCTGAATATGGTCGGTGTTGCTGTTACAATTTGTGGTGAGTAATGAATGATTCAGCCGGGCGGAGTTCGGACTGATCGTTGACCTGACCAGGCATTGCTCTGTTCACGTATCACAAATACCGTAAATCGCTGGAGAGCGACCTTCCTCTCGACGCACATGGCAACCCCGTCGACCTGGACGACAGCACTGCGGAATCACACCTGCTAAGCCACGAGCTGGATGAAACGGCGCGGTTGACTCGGGACAGTGATGAGTATGACAGTGTAATGTTTTCCGTTCTGCTTGACGCATGTCGTTGACTGGCGGCCAGGATGATGACGGATTATCAACCAATCACACGCGGACACTGTTTTCCGCCGATGAAGACCAGGATGCTGAAGAGTTGCGAAGCATCCGATCCTCGAAGTTGGCTTGGAATACCGGGAGGGCCGGTCGAGAGGAGCCGAGCGCCGCTCCGTAGGCAAAATCAGCGGCGCAACCAAGCCACGAGGTCGTGCCATGATCTGATCACCACAGTGTGTTGTATTTCGCAGAGATTTGGTTGAGACAGGACATGCATCTTTGGAACTGCACATGATCCGCTCTGTATGTCTATCAGTTCTGCATAGAAGTTGCGTCGACGCGATTCGCAAGGTGAAGAAGGCGCGGGACCAACCTTGGACACACAAGACAACTTGGCCAAAGTAGGAAAACGTGGCACAGTTCTGCGGAGTGAATTCCGGATAAAAAACCTGCGTGTGAACGCGCATCAGCACATGCGCGTAAGCGGTATGTTTCAGCGAGCGGCGTCCTGGGCATTCCAGTTCCCGTGCATTCAGTAAATCAGCGGACATTTTGAAGGGACACCGGGGTTGCTGAGAGATGGAGATCTGGATCGGGCCCGTTGCCATCGCTCGATCGGATATAAAAATGGCCAAAGAAGTCCCAGATTCTGCCACAAAATAGGCTCGCTCGGGAAAAAAGAAATCTGGTCACGGTCACACCACAGAAAGGCCTTTGAGCGTTTTCTACAGTCATTGATTTTTGTCCTTATAAAAGAGAGCGCTCCCGAATTAGGCCTCTTCTACCTTCCCAATGGACGACTCCTTCCAGTTCATCATTGAATCGCCTCAGAACACCACGGGCCATAAGAAGCGCCCGCGTCTCGTTACATCTTGCGACAACTGGTCCGTCGGTCCCACACCGCTCTAGTCCGACTTCTGACGCGTCTTAGTCGCCTCAAAAAGATCAAATGTCTACAGTCATCTCCCGAGTCCAAATGCGAAGCGTGCAAAGTCGCCAAAGTCGCCTGCCGATTCAAGGACCGCGAACGCTACTTCGCCGAGCGTAGTCGCGCTATAGCGGGCCCAAATGTTGGATCTCCTTATGGCGAAGAACCGAGGTACGCAATAACAAATTCCAAGCGAATAACCCCGCATTGATTTCCTAGATCACCCTCTCTCGACATGCATTCCGTTCCTTCCAGCGCGTCCCCTGTAAGCCCGCGCTCGTCCAGCAATTCCCCGCGACCAAGCGGTGTCGCGGTACCCGATGGGGACCCACGCTACCTATCATATCCGCCAGAATCGCGTCGCTCGACAGACAGGTCCGTTCCATCTCATCGGCGGCACAGCTTCAGCCCGGATTCTCATCCCCTTCAGGCGGGGAGCTTCCTCGACACTCCGTTCCTCACGGCCTGATCCAATAGGGTATGTTTGATGTCACCGCACACACCATGGGCGCTGTTCTGAAAGTTATGCAGCCGATCACCCGGGGCGCGTCCGCTACCCCTGTTCGATCCAGACCGACCGCAGTTCCCTCTACCAACCTACATGTCGCATTTCATACAACTTTTCTTCCAGGAGATGGCACCCGAATTCCCCTATGTAACATACGACGACGTCTCCACACGCTTCATGAAAGGCACTTTGCCAGCTTTGCTGGCTAACTGTATCGCCGCCTTGGCTGCTAGGTCGGTTCCGGCTCATCGGCCGCCTGTGGATGCTACTAACCTGTGCTCGAAGGTCATCTACCGATTCCGAACTTGCTGCACGAGGGCTCTCTCATGTAGCGGAGACATATGCGGACAATGCCAAGGTTTGCGGTCGGCATGGCGTGGAGTGGAGTCATTTGCTGACTGACTCTTTGCAGACAATCTTGGCACCCATCTCGCAGATACCCCAGCTGACCACTTTGCATGGTCTGATGCTTCTTTGCTGGTTCGAATACAAGAACAGCCGGATGGACGGTAGGCAGATCCCGTCAACAGTCTTGGGTGTCTTCTAATGCAGAAGCAGGTCTGCGGGGCTACTTCCAGATGGCCATGGCGATGGCGATGAAGTTGGGCCTTTCTGAACAGAACCCGCCCGCAGTCAATGCATCCGAGGCTGAGCGGAACATCAGACGATCGACATGGGCCTGTGTTCTGCAGCTGCATCTCACCGTGACATCCTGTGAGTGACTGCGTTGATGCGTCGACTCTTCCCAGGCTGACTGTCCAACAGACAGTTAATCACTAGACGGGAATGGACGTCTTATAATATCCGTGGACTAGAGCGCATAATTATCCGACTAATGGCACGATTCACAGTGGATTATAGACAATCCTGATGTACGTACCATCGCAACTCTCTCGCAATACATAATCACGAGTGGCGATCGGTTGAGTAGCTTTGTAGGAGAGTAGGCGGCTTAGTACTGTATACATTCAATTAATACAACGCAGTTTTGCAATTGTTATTGGCGATGATAACTGGCACTGGCCGAGGCACGGAGCTTGACAGCCATGCCATTTTGACTACCTGGGATAGCATTCCACAGGCGCTGCATCGAGGGCATCGAGGAGACGCTTTCCTTCTTCCACACTGTTCCCGACATCGACAAGTTATTCGGACTGTTCGATTGGACTATCCCCCGAGATTCCGGGATGGACTGGACTCCCCCAGCCTCATGATAGTCATGTCAAGCTAGACATGGTCACAGACAGTCTGGAACGTGTCTGTGTCTCCGACCTTCTGCCCGTTTTCAGGGATAAAATGACATGCCACATGCGAGTGCGCAGATCCTCTGGTCGACCCGACAGCTCATTCGCAGGTCCGCGGGAAGCTGGCAAGGGCTACGGCGTCCGGCTCCTGTCCAAGCTTACTGGAAGGCGTCAGGGAAAGTACAGGCCCGATCGCGTCACAGTCCGCACTCGGCTCCTCGCTGGACTTTGTGAGTCGATACCCTGAAATGCTTCCTCTCTTCCCTGGGCGTTGGACGTTCCCAGGCCATAATAAAGTTGCATCTTAGGCGCTCAGGATAGGACCCGCCCGCAGCATCTGGAACTGTCACGTGTGCGCCCGAGGAGGAAGGACGAATTGGGCGAGTTGTATTTTTAGATCCGGATGCATTCGTCCCCTCTCCACAGAAAACATGGCACTGGCGCGCAGCCTGTCATCCTGCAACTCGGAGGACGTGTGTGATTTTGATCGGAGACTGAACAGTCAAAATGACATTCGCATGTGAAGACGTCATCGATTGAGAAGAAGAATGTATTTGACGATATATGGACTCATTGCTGTGCCAGACAGCTGTTGTGCGATGGAGAGAGTTGCAATGACGGTCGAAGTCCCTAACCTTCTCGGCCCGGTATACCCGCTCACCATGTGTGATCCGCTGATTATCAGCATAGCCATGGCGACTTCCCCGCGCTTCGGAAGTGTCAATGATAATGGCATCGGGCTCTTTCGGTACTCTGGGGATTTCATTGCCCATGCTACGGCGCGCAGACAAAGCGCCAGTCAGGCGGGCTATTGCTATATAGACTGCGGTCGATATCCTCGACACCTGAAGCGTCTGTTATCATCAAGTCGGAGTCTCCGTGGAAACTCAACAGTTCAATATCCCGTTGGACTGATAGTATTATTTGGCACTGTCGGCCCGTCACAGCCAGTCACCTTCTCTTTTCGATACTCACCATCCCTGGGAGGCAGAGCCTCTATTTCCTTCGCAACATACAGCAGCGCTGCTATACCCCTTCTTTATTTAGCCCTCCATGTCGGACGTCGATGCTCTGCTCCCGGACGGGTCGGTCTGGTTGATGAAGACGGCTTACACGCTTCGGGAAGTTCACGGAGTTTCGGTGCGTACGGCATAGAAGTGGAGCTGGCTGGCCCCCCGGTGACTCAACGACCTCTTCTAGGTTCTTGTTGTGTTTTCGTGCTTCTCTCTCATCGCTGTCGTCGGTCTGTTGGGGGCCATCGGGGTACGAACATCATCTGCGTATCTGGCACACGACCCCAACCTTATTTGTTCCAGTTATCCGCTTTCAACACTCGCTCTTCCTTGGACCAACATCTTTTCGTGCGAACGCATGTCGCGGCGTACTTCCTCTCGCTTCTGTTGGCGGATATGATTCAGGCAATTGGTTCTATCATGAACGCAAAGTGGATTGCGGGGATGGTCACCGAAGTTGGTTCTTTCTGTACCCTCCAGGGTGAGTAGTGTTTGAACATGACCGCGGCTCACGTTCGTGACGCATCTTTGCAGGGGTGTTGAAGCAGACGGCTGATGTGGCCACGGCGTTTTGGACATTGGTGATCGCCATCCACACATTCTGCCTGCTGTTCTTGGAAATCAAGTCCAGCCGCTTCACGCTGATGACGACTCTCATCGCTGGATGGGCCGGTATCGGGACCATCGTCATCGCTGGACCCGCGTCTATGAACACCAGCAAGCACGGCCCGTTCTTCGGCATCTCCGGATACTGGTGTTGGATCGCGCCAAACTATCCTCACTCGCGGGTCACCCTGGACTACATGTTTGCAAGTCCTGGCGCCTATATCCAAGAATGTTATCTAATCGAAAGCAGATGTACATCGCCGCCATCTTCAGTTTCGTCCTGTACATCCTCATCTTTTTGCGGATGCGAGGCAACATCATCGTCGAAGGATTCCGCATTTCTTTCCGTCGTTCGGGGCTCAGTCAATGGCGGGGGAAACGATTCAACGCCCAGGCTTTGACTATCGCCAAGCAGATGCTTTTGTCGGTTTGATTCCTGTGCAAGTCTTCTCTGCGTTGATTATCAGTGCAGGTATCCCATCGCATACACAATCCTAATTTTGCCAATCACGGCATCGCGATTCACTTACTTTGCCGGCTATCGTGTTCCCTTCGGCGTCACCATCTTTGCGTAAGTTGGGCCATAGTATGAGTCAATGGCGCAAGCTCACCGGCTCCCAGCGACTCCATCTTCCTGCTCGACGGCGTCGTCAATGTGACCCTCTTCGCGATGACCCGCCGGATTTTGCCTCCCGACTCCTTCAAGATCCCCAAGTGGAAGATCTCGCGGCCGACCCCGATCCCCGAGGCCACGTTCGATCCTGGCCTGGATTCGTACTATCAAGCCTCGGGCAAATACGTTCCTTTCGACGAGAAGGAAGACTCCCTTCCTTCGGTGCCAGTGTTCCCCAAACCCATCCACAGCCGCGACATGTGATTGGGACCCTGTTTGTTTTGGATATAATTTATTTGTTACTGTACGCTGCTTGTAAGGTTACATCTACTCTCGCCCCAGCGTAAGCTGTTCTGTCGACCAGGGAAGCGGGCCGCTGTACAGCCGGGTGTGTTGTTTGGGGCACCAAGCCAGTAAGGGCCCGAGCTCAGGATTGCTGGCAAGATAGGGCGCATGACGCATATCCTGGTTCCTCTGTCGACGTTTCGACGCGAGATAATCGTGGCATCCGTACAAATCATGGACGTAGGGCAGGTATCCGTTTTGGAGCTATAGAAAGGGTTCTTGAGTGCGCGAAGGTCTTCGAAAGGCGGGACTGACCTCTCCTTCCCTCGCAAGGGTGTTGTCTCCGTCGATGTCGACGCCGATGTAGTCGAACCGGGCCGCAGGCCATCGCAGCGCAGCGCGGTGCAGATTGACGAATCGGTCCCGCTTCATTTCGTACCCGACGACTGTGATCGTTTCCGGGTACGCGCCGGTGTACTCGTAGAACCTCGCGATGGAGAACAGCAGATTCTGGAACGAATCGAGCGCATAGTCCTCGGACGTCGCGCGATGGAACGTTTCCGCTGGTATGAGCCCCGACTTGAGTGCTAGTCGTAGGTATGATTCGCCTTCCGAGGTTGTGGAGGATGCTTGAGTATGACCCCTGCCAAAACCAGTCAATTGAGACCCGTCGCCGAACCGCGTAGAAGGTAGTCATACCCACTGAATACAAGGAGTGATTCCGCGTCGCTTAGCGCCAAACGGACCCTAGGAAACTTTGAGGGGGACAGCAAGGGACGTTGGGAACCCACGCACGCGTTAGATATGTGTCGGAAGAACACGTCGAGACGCGCGGACTAGACGATGCTGACTGATGAGTGCATCCATGGTGCTTAGGTGTGAGCCTCCTGACCTGATCCTGGTTCTTCTGGTACGTCTGAAACGCCCACTGGTCCAAACTCAAGCGCAGGTCGGGATCGACGCCTTGCCAGATAGCGTGTCCCGGCACGATGATGAGGTGCTTCAGCTGCTGGAGCTCAGGCAGCAAAGTAAGAGAAGAGGACGCTAGGAGTGAGGTTGTGAATGGAGCAGATACGTAGTATTGGACATTGAGGAGGAGGGAGAGGAACGCCAGACACGCTAGGCCTAGGACCGCAAGATTTGTGGCACGCGAACGACTGAGTAATGTCTTGCGCCTGCGGTGGCTTCAGAGAGGGTGAAATAATGAAGGGCAGAGATACTGGCAGTTTTGAGGCACGTCTACTCTGCCCTCGATCTAAGGACACGGAGGTGGGGAGCATAAATTAGCGCTGCTACTTAGTCATGCCGTCTTCGTGGCTAATCACGTGATCACGAGTCGAGCAAGGGACTAGTGTAAATAAAAGTTTGGATGCACATAGGGCAACTTCTATGCGATACAGCACTTTAGATAACATCATAGGACGCGCTTTTCGAATTCCCGCTGGATCGCCCATTTGACTGCCTCCTCAACATTTTCAGCGTAGTGAGTGGGCACGTGAGTAGGTTCACCCCCCGAGTAGACCCCCGTCTTCACCAAAATTGAGTTCCAACCTGCAGCGTTGGCTCCGGCAATATCTGAAATAATTCGAGTAAGCCATGTCACAAAGAAAGCTGATGAAATTACCGGATTCCGGATTATCTGGTTTTCGTTGGAATGGCATCGAAAATGAACGAATGAAGAAGCAACGTACCGCCGACCATGTAACTTGTGTTCGACCAATTCAGCCATCAGCAGGTCAAAGAAATGGTAACTTACACTTCCGGAAGCGCGCCTCTGAAGCTGTACATCTTCTCAATGCGCTCTTGAAGGACTGTTGAGGCAAATTCATAGGTCGCTCTTGTAGGCTTGCCGAGTTGAACATGTCTAAGCGTGGAATAAATCACATCGAAACGAGTGCTTCGGTCTGGCTCACGGATATTCCGATCCCGTGAGTTCCTTTGACGGTGTTACTTTCCAGGTCGAGAGACGGATTCATCAACTAACTTTGAATACAGCTTGGAAGGCAGTTTTGAACGCTCCTTGGCCTGAGTGCAATCAGTAGAGTTTCAAAAACAGCCAGGAGGGCCGGTCACCTAGGCGAGGCTGCTCGAAATCCGATCGCCAAATCAGATCCGGGTTGCAGAAAACAAGCTCGACGGGCTTCTTCTGCTCGTGCAATGGTATGTATGGCCCACCGACAACTCCCGCAGATTGGATGATATCACAGATGATTTGAACTGCCATCTGCGTGAGGGACCCATTTGCCAGAAACGGGGCGGCGACGAACCATCGAGGGCCCAGTCGCGGGGATCATGGAACACGAAGACAGCGCCAATGCGAGTTTGAGAAAAGTCAATATCCTACTCGAGCGCATATTAGCGAGCGGATATCATGTCGGGAGTAACGGACCTGTGCCTTTGCCCGCTCTTCGTCAAGCAGCTGGTGGAAGGGCCATACCCTGTAGATATCTCAATGGATGAACGAGCACTGCTGATCCCTGACGCACGACGAATTCCAAGCCAGGACGTCATGCGAAGTGCATGCCTTGTTGAAGCCGTATCTGGAATGTTGAGCGAACGGAACCCTAGACCACGAAGCAACGATACGCACTCGACGGCAACCTGCCGAACCTGATCTCGTTTGCCTCCCAGCACCAGCACGGATGTATCCTTATACTTGCCAGCAAGCGTCTTGAGAATTGTGTGAGCTTGGATGTATTGCTGAGACTCTATCTAGAGATGAGGAATATCAGTAAGGCGTGAAAATGCATCACCATATGGCTATATTACTTGGTAGCCCAGCTTCGTGCTCAGTGCACGGCAACGATCGACCTCGCGGACTCCGCCACCATTGGTGAGCTAGATCGTCTTAGCCGGGGTGGTCTAGAGAGAAAGATAAACCTATACAAGGATATATGGCAGTTTCCTTGGAACGTCACAGTCGGAATGGGAGAAGCGGCATCTAGCTCACATGTTGTAAGGGTTGTTCCCTTCCATCATGGACAGGGCTCGTTTAGCAGGCGGAAGGACGTCTTCCCCCCTGACTAATACTCCGTCAATGTCAAATGCGAATGCAAGAGGAGGTGGCATAGATCGCGAGGCTGCATCCGTTCGAAGATATCTAATGGCATGACGAGTCTGGTATCTTGAATTCTTGAGCCGATGCAAAGCGGGGATATGATGCTTCGAAGCGAAGGAGACTCTAAACGCAGAGCCCAACATTCTGTATCCGCTGAAGAGTGGCAGTACACGGGACTATGCGGCTCGCGCTTCGTCACCATCACGTGAGTAGTGTAACATCACCGTCGGGGACACCGGGTGACCCGTCAGACTGATACTCATTTCGGTGCGAACGAGCATGTCGCGTTACTCGTTGACCTCTTCTCACGCCTCATCCAACTCGCCATCTATCACGATGGAGAAGGGAAGGTATCGGCTACGAGCTCCCGCGCCCATCGAACCCTTTGCCTTGAACCTCGGTCGAGCCACCGCTCTCACACAGCGCACGTCACCGCATAGCCGCGCTCGCCAGAGAACCTCCTCTGTTGCAGCCGGGTTGGTGATCATCCTCGCTCTTTGCAGTCTGGCTAGTTTTGGGTTCGCGTACTACCTTTTCACCACGAGGTGGGGATCCACCGCCCTCCATGACAAGCCAGGTCTCGCTGACGAACACCATCAAGTTATCCCGTTTGACCTGCAAACTCGCACCTACCCCGAATCCGAAAAGTTTATCTCGTACCTCCCTCACAGCGGTCTCCACAACCAGCGCATTGCTCTCGAGAACGCACTCGTTCTTGGTGTGTTGACGAATCGTACTGTTCTTGTTCCTCCAGTCCGACTAGGTACCAAGTCTATCCGCTATCTCAACTCTCAAGCTCTGCAAGACGTCCTCGCCATTTCGGGCAAGGAGGGTCTTCACCATTGCGCTCATGTAGGATCCCCCTTCACGCCTCCAGAATGTTTCGACTTCGCCACTTTTACGCATGTCTCACCAGCGTGGCTGTTCAACCTGACCCATGTCCACGACTTGGTCCGCCTGGAACACATGGCCGATCTGTCTCCACGAGCGACGCTCGCTCGCCTGAACCTCACTTCGGCCCACGTGGCTGCGTTCCCCGATTCCAACCCATACCAATACCGCTTTCTGGACACGCAGAGCCTTCAAGTCACAAGTATTCCGAGACCTTGTTCATCCCCGACTTGGCTGCTCTGCCTCACCGCCTGCTTTCGCTTGGAACATTGTTTGGTTCCTCGCGCTTGAGGCTGAGATTAGAAGGCAACAAGAGAATCCGCACGACTGTTCGCGAAGCCATGGACTTGACCACACCCGAGCTCGGCCATATCGCTGATAGAATCCGTGATGCGATGGGCGGATATTACCTTGGCATCCACTTGAGACTCGGAGATGGATCATTCAAGGAGGAACACCACAACACTCTACACTTGACGTGGTGGAAGTTGGTACACGAGATCATGCAATTCGATCACGCGGACACATTGGCCTTGGGACGGCGTTTTGGCCTAGACCCGGCTGTCTCGGAGTTCCGAACACCTTCCTCTCATGTTCTATTCAGATCTCTACCAGAAAACTCTTTCTCAGACGCTCAGTTACAATGCCGCCGAAGACGCCATCGTGCTGCCAGTCTGGTCAAACTGAACTGGCCGTTGTTCATTGCCACAGACGTCGATGGACCTGCAACCAATGAGCTGCTGGCCCCATTTCGTCGGGCGTTTCCATGCGCGCTGTTTCTGTCGGA